AGACTGACGGACAAACCGAGAACGCGAACTCCTACCTCAAGCAATACCTACGCGCCTATGTCAACTACGAGCAGGATAACTGGGCGCTTTTTCTGCCAATAGCTGAATTCGAAGCCAACTCCAGCACCAGCAGCACAACTGGCAAGTCGCCTTTCTTCGCGACTAAAGGATACAACCCACGGAGTGGCATTGAACCCCCTGCGCCAGCGCCAGGCGCTGCGACCTTGACTGCGCCTGCGCAACAAGAACGTCTCAACGCTGACGCTTTCGGGGATCGCATGAAAACGCTGCAGGACGAGCTGCGAGCTTCAATGCAATGGGCGCAAGCAAAACAAGCAGAATACGCCAATGAAGGAAGGCTACCCGCACCAGCTTTCAAAGTCGGCGACCAAGTGATGCTGGACACTCGCAACCTACGGACGAAAAGACCCTCCGCGTCATTAGACCTAAAGAACCGCGGTCCCTTTACTATCGTTCGCGCCATCAACAACACCGCATACGAGCTAGATCTTCCCGCTAACATGAAGCGCATCCACAATGTCTTCCACCCATGGCTCTTACACTTGGTTGACGACAACCCACTTACTGGACAAACACAAGATCCTGAGGTCCCTGCGGAGTTCGACCCAGAAGTGGAAGACGACACTGAATACACTGTCGAAGCAATCGAAGACTGCCGCATTAATAAGAAGCTTAAGGATCCTGCCGCCCGCGGTCGCAAGGGCAAGACTACCCAAGGCCTGCTCCAATACTTGGTACGATGGGCAAACTATCCCGACGGCCCCGACAATCCTTCATGGGAACCATACATGAACCTCGCGGACTCCGCTGACACTGTGACGCGCTATCACCTTGATCACCCAAACAAGCCGCCTATGCACAGGAAGTTTAAGTCTCTCACAGGCAAACAAGATATGCTGGTTATGCGACTTCACGCTCTTAGTCGTGTCTAGCCAGTGGTGACAACAGCAGACAAGACCAACAATAAGACTGGGATAATATAGTTGTGCTTGCTATAATCGAGGGCGTCGATAAGTTGTGCTAGAAATAGGACTTATAGACGCTGTGCTCGTGGCAAGGACTAGACTGTCAAAGTTACTATTGTTAAGACAAGATGCTAAGGTCACCACGCCACGATGATGATCCATAATTACTGTGCACAGACAACGGGAATAGAATGTAGTAATGGAATGGACACTGCAAGCGACACGCTTGGTATGCAGCAGTTTTGCGATATAGGTATCTCCTTTGTATACAATTTTAGGCAAAAAAAAAAAAAAAAAAAAAAAAAAAAAAGGCAGTTCGAGCGTTGGAACTTGCTCTCTTTTTTGGGGGGGTAGTGTCATGGATCAAACCCGCGACCTCTAGTAAGCGAGGTGGCCCGTGCGCCTTAAGCGAAGGCCACAGCCGAACACCAAAGTTCGACCCGCGCAGGTCTTCGAACCTGCACGCAATATCTCACTTAGTACTTAATACAGATACGGTCATCTCAACTATTGACGTCCCTCACAAAGGGCACCTATATGCCAGTAAATAAAGTAAACCTGCTGCTAAGGTAGCTACTGTAGAAGATTAAAGAAATAAGTGATAGAGAGAAAGATATAAGTGCTAGGATAAGGATGCTAGAGACGTCTTCCTAACTACCTAACTATAAGGTAGACGCCATAAAGACGCCAAAGCTGACGATACTAACTACTAAAGCGAGCGACTCACCTATCTACACCGCCCTAAAGCCACGTCTAAGCTTACCTTACCCTCCTACGTTTAGCGGTAATAAATCATAATAGTAAGGATAGAAGCTAGAGATAGAAGGTAAAATCAAAGAAAATACCCTAGCTATTAGAAGCTTTAGGGCTTAGCTACGCTACATCTTTATACGCCTTAAAGGAGCAGTAAAGACAAATATTACAACGTTCTAACTACCTTGCATAGCTAAGGCGTTGTCACGGTAATCACCCTGATTCCCTGACACCTGAACGGCCATAGACGCTAGGTGCTCCCGTAAGCACCTGGCATCTGTTGATTAGCTAAGAGCAGCTAAGACCCCGCGCTAAGCGCACAGGCCCCGCTTATATCTGCTCACCGCAACTTGAACCTGTTCTGTTTCCTTACGCAACGTCTTGTATCTACACTAGATAGTAACTACGATCAATAAAGAACTGTAAAGACTATCTTCTGTCTGTGTTCGACTGCGACGTAGTCTCTCGTGACAGGCGTAAATCCTCGCGAGTCTAGGTTAAGAATATATTAGATAGTTAGTTATTTACTATTCAGTAGTGTCAAGCGTCAAGGTTGGGGAGAATCATGTTGTATTAGAGCTGTGTCTGGAAGAGGTCTATATACGCAGTGGGAAGAGTGAGTGAAGGAGCTAGGCCGTAAAGGTACTAGCGGGTAAATGGGTGGCTGCCTGGTTGCCCAAGGAGGAGCCAAGGGATAAGCCCTATGGCCGACAAGTAGTAGTAAGCTTATAGCGGCCGTTGCGACTTTCTAGGCGATGTGTGATTCTATAGTATTAGCGAGTTAATATTATAAGAGGTATACTAAACGCCTTAGCAGCGCGCCAGAGGCTTCGAAATTTATAGTTATTATAGGTAGAAAGAGTAAACATAATTCTGCCTTCTTGGTTAGATAAATGCGCGTTTTGTTGTTAAGACATATCGTGTTAATGAGGGAGTAGGTAGTCTTGGCAGAAATTAATCCACTCGATGAGTTGATCCACTCGATGATAGAATACGTTAGTTGTTCAATCTTTTGATTTCAATAATTTTTAAAAACAAGGCAGAGAAGAGGTAGAAGGAAGACCTAGCCAGCACCGCACATGTGCTGTGAATTGTCGTCATTTAATAACACCTGAAATTTTCAGACTTTCGTAAGTAGACAGAAGTGGGAAAGAAAGAAGAGAAAGAGAGGTAGACACCAGGAAATTTCGTTGCAGTGGTCAAATTTCAAAAAGGAAATAGTAGAAATTTGTAGGCAGCACAAGGGTCTAGTCATAGAACTAGGTGGGTAAGTTTCAGACAGCAAGACATGAATCTTCTGTATTATTGGAACAAGGTCCCTCTAGTAGTATGACTACCATGGATAGCCGAGTGGGAGGAGGGACAAGGCGGGGTGGCTGCAACGTATTGTATTGACTATCGTGTTGAGTGTCTCAGACTCACTCTGTTGTGGTGGGTGCTATTGCCCACCGGGCAGTGCCTGCCACACCAGCATATCATGTGACTCCCAAGCACCTTCTACCCTGGACTGAACTCAGATATTCTCAACATGTATATTGTTTTTTAGAACATTCTCGAAAATCGCGATTTTTTTAGAGGATAAAGGCAGGACCAGAGAGCCATGTGAAAAGTTGGATAACGTTTTTCCGAGAGGAGAAAGGCAGAGACAGAGAGTTATTTGTTTGCTCGATCCTATTTTTTTGGAAAGAGGAGAAAGGCATAGACACACAGCTATTCGTCGCATCCATGAAGTTTTGAAAAAGAGGACAATAGGCAGAACTGTCGGATCGTGAGTATCGGTAGAGACGTCGGCTGCTGGACACTTCGGCCCGACTTCGGCCCACCTTGCGCAGAGCTTAGGTATACCTTCGTAGCAGCTGTGTTCGTAATAAATCAATTAGAACCACCGAACAGAATGCATTCCTAGTTATCGTTATTTCCCTTTACGCACTTAGTGCAAAGCCAACCAACAAGAACCAAATATCCACGTAGTCGTTATTTTTTTTAAGAGGAAAACAGCCAGAACCATACACTCATCTAGATATGGTACACAATTTTCTCTCTCTCAAAAAGATAAAACCACACAAATTTTCAAGCACCCCAGAAAATAGAAGGAAGAAGGAGAAGCCACACAGCCATACCACCACTGACCCATCTTTTAGAAAGAGAAAAACAGGCAGAACCACACAGCCATTCCACCTATCATTTGCTTTTTTAAGAAAGAAAGAGAGAGAGAGAGAGAGAGAGAGAGAGAGAGAGAGAGAACAGGCCAGACGGTCATTCTATGTGATTTCGTAGCTTTAGAAGGAAGAGAGTAGTAGAGATTTTGAGTGAGTGTGTGAGAGAAGGAAGGAAGAAGGAAGAGGGCCCCAAGCACGCATTATATGTGCCATCACCGTGATCACGTGCGCGCCGTTGTCCAAAAAGCTCAGTGTTGTCAAAGTATGAGAAAAGACGCCAAAAAGTCATAAGCACATGCAAGCATGTGTCGAAAAACATTCAAATGATACATGATGTGCCAAAAAATCATAAACATATACAAGCATGTATTTAAAAATGTCCAAAGACCTAACTAACTACATGACGCATGAAACCATTCTACCCATCTGACCTAGATTACCCATATCCAAAGTCCCCAGGCAAAATGTCCCATCCATTCCCACCATATCCCATGCCAAACCCAGACAGATACCAGAGAAAAAGAAGGACTCCCAGACTCCCGCTATTGTTACGATTTGGTATATCCCATAAACGAGAGAAGAAACCCAATAAGACGACACAAAATGATAAAGAGAGCTTTCAATAACAAGTGCACAAGACACGCAAACGGAAGAAAAAGAGAGCCATCATGTTGCAAAACACAATCAGCAGAAGCAGAAGAAGTAAAGAGAAGAATGCCTGATCGGGGTATCCCAAGGAAGTCGGAAGGCAATGATGGGGTTCATCAAGGGAGGGCCCTTGATAAGAACCCTCACCCTCTGGCAGTAACAGAAAACAAGTGTGAAGAGAAATAACAGCAGAAAGAAAACAGAAAAGGCGATGGAAAGGAAAATCCAGACTCGCTCGTGCGTGCAGGTTGAACTCGCTCCAAGATCAAGAATTGATACGTCTTTCGTTGCGTTTGAGATCATAGGAGATTCGTTATTTATTTCTTCGTTTGTCATTCGTGAGATCATCGTTTAGGCGTGACTGAAGTAGTACTGTAGTTGTGGTAGTGGGCATGTGTCCTGGAGATTGATGATGATGACGATGTCATACGAACAGGCAGTACCATTGGTTAATCTAAGACCGGTTCACAACGGCTTGCTGCTCGCCAGTGGCTACTGCGACAAGCGCTTCCAATCGCCTCATGTCGTTATTGTTCGCCTGTGGTAGCGGCTGACCGAATGTCACGGGTCCCCGCTCGGGTTCACGCTGCGGACGGTAGCTTGAGCTAGAGTTTGAGAGGCTATGGCTATGGTAGTGTTGGTGCGGTTGCGCATGTAGAGGATGAGGCCTCTCCATGATAGAAGCCGCTGGCGAAGCAGGCTTGTGCTCTTCAACGACTGGCGCCTCCACGTAACCGTTGCTGTGCACGATAGCAGGATGGTAATCAATCATAGTTCCAGGCGTTGGAACACCTTCGCTACTACTAGAGTCCTCTGGTGATGTCCGTTGTAAAGCTCTTTGCGTTGTTGCAAGAGGCCCATTGTACCACGCTTGTCTCTTGTTCTTGCGAGGGGTTTCTGGGTTCTCTTGCGACGTCCTCGGTGACGCATTCACAGGTGGGATCTGGATAGGCTGGATATTGGGTGGTTGTCGGCTGAAGTAGCCATGCGGCGCCGTCGTCGGCCGTGCAGCATTGGTCCGACCTGCGCTGCCGGGATACTGTTGCGACCATTGCTCTCTTTGCGAGTTTGGACCGGCAATGTTCAGACGATCGATTTCCCACGAGATGCTTGTTCGCTTGTGGTGACCCCTATTGGGTGGCGGTGGAGCATGGTATGTGAGTGGACGAGCAGGGGCATCCACCTGCATAGGACTTGGCTGACGTCGAGGTAGTGGTGGCGGGGGAGGCGCATGGTCGAAACTCTCAATACCGGGGAGCCTGGTAGTTTGTGAAGCCGCAGGTTGTGAGGTGTATAGTGGTCGCGGGGCATCGGGCGTCTGATGATAGCCAAGCCCACTGGTCGCTGGTCGAGGACCGCTGTAGGTTCCTGGATGCCAAGTACGTCGCCTCCAGTCTGCGTCTGCAGTGGAATCCCTCCTAGACTCTGAAAAATTTGATACTGTCGGGCTGGCGTATGCGCTGCTCTGTACCGAGTAGGTGGGGGCGGCTGTGGATTGGAGAGGTGTGATATACGCAGGGGGACCCTGTCCCGGTGGACCAGAGAAAGGATTACCGTTGGACGAGATGGATTGTCGACGTCCAGGTGGTGGTGGTCCGGCCCAAGAGACAGGCCTTGACGCAGTCGAAGCCGGAGACTGTAGAGTGGAGCCAAAACGGGCGGGGCTGCCAGCGGCTGGGGAAAACGTGGCGGAGGTGGGTGTTGTGGGTGCGTTGGACTGATTATCATATTCCACAGGCCCGGGACTGCCCATCATGGGTGGATCGTAGGCACTCATCGTGTTGAGCGATAGGCGCGCCCTTGCACTTGCACCGCCGTCACTGGCCATGGCCAACGGGGGCGGTCTTCGCCGAACGTCCGGAGATTGAGCTACGCTCAAACTCGAAATTGTGGAGGTTATACTGGAGGCGGATAGGTTTCGGCTATGGCCTCTACTGTGTCCACCTGTGCTGCCCAGTGTGTTCGCTCGAGAGCGGTTCCCGGGAGGTCTTACGCGGTCGGTTCGGATTTGGCGTTGGAATCTTGTGCCTGTAGCGGCCAGCGATTCGGACGGAATGTCTTCGTTAAGGTGCACAGTTTGTGCATGTTGGCGGAGATTGTCGAGGCGCGAGAAACGTCGGGAGCAGTGGCACTGGAAGGGACGTTCGCCAGTGTGCTTACTATCGAGTGTTAGCAAGAAGGCGGCACGAACAGAGTACGACGTACCGAATGTGCCGCGCCAGATGTTCGCTTCGGGTGAAACTCAGGTTACATGGTGGAAAGTCGGTACAGAAGAAGCGTTGGCCCTTCTTCTTCTTGGATGGTCTGTTTGAGTCGCTGTTCACACTTTCGTTGTCCGATCCGTCCTTTTCATCCTCGTCGCCTTCGCCCATTTGCACATCTTGCGACTGTGCCGACCTGTGTGAATCCTCTCTGCTCTGCTCGCTCTTAATCGAGACGGAAGGTGTCTCGCTCAGCTCGCGCGCAGGCGACGACGGTAACGGGCGCTGGCCAGCAAGTCCGGCAAACGTGTTGCGTGTGGGCGTCTTGGCCGCGGGATCGTCGGCGCGGATATCCTCGCTCACTTTGGACTCGGTAAAGAACCTGCTGTTAGGTCGGGGAGTGGTGGGCGTGGTTTCTTCCATTTGGCGCCCTGGGGTTGGATCCGGCACCGAAAGAGTCGTGTTGACTGGGTGGAAGGTGGACATGTTGGAAAGCAGGGTGGCCAACAGTTCGGGCGAAGCTTCTCTGGGACCGCGTGATGCTTAGTGTATTGCGCAGTGTGCGGTAACGAGGCGCGTCGGCGGAGCGAGGGACACAATAGGGCAGGCGGCAACAGGGCGAGTGTGTGCCAGGGCAGACTGGCAAGTTAATGCAGGCACAGGTGCCGAGCGGGCAGCCTGGAGCGGCGCAATCAGTGTGATACTGCGGGTGGTGCCTTTGTGGAGTGGGAGTAAGAAGGCTGAAACGATATGATGACGAATAGAGGGCGGCGTTGCAGCAACAACATTCGGACGCTGCGGTCAGCTCAGTGCGAGCTATCCAAAAAGACGTGGGGGGAATGGGTAAGTCGTCAGGGAGTCGATGTTGGGAGTAGAGGCGGGTCGTTCACGTTTACAGGAACCGGGTCAGTGGTCAGGGAGTTCGCAACGACGGATAGTTACGCGGACGAGTGCTGGCTGTGTATGTATGATAAGGCGCGGCGACTTAAGGTGGCGGGGGAAAGCCAAAGCCCCTCTTTGACGCCGACTCGATGCAGGAGGCAGCTGGGCAGTTGGCACGAGCAAGAGAGACGCGGCAGAATGCGGCTCTTGGGAAAGGATGCAGCTAGACAGGTGTCGAGTACAAAAGGCCAGACGTCTCCGTCGAGATTGGTGCTGACGTTGAGGCACGACTCAACTCACGATTGCGACTGACTGCGCTGCATGCGAGGAGGGGTTGGTACCGTAAGGCACAGACGGGACCTTAGCTTCCAAGTGGTGCGCCCCCGGCTGGCAGAGAAGGCTGGGGTGGGAGAGAAGTGCCAGGATTGATCCATCTTGCGACAGAGCGCATCTTCTTGTGTGCAGACTGCAGATCTCCGATTAGCCACTGCTTGGCCCACTATCCAGCCTGCAGCTTTTGGACCTAAATGTCCTCCTCCAGTGAAGCCAAAGGCGCAGCTGAGCCGAACGCATCTCTCTGCCCGCCTGTCAGATTGCATCATGTGCGCCTTCGAGTCGTCGAGTACCATCCTACCAGGTACCACTGGGCGGGGCTCTCGACACGCAAAGCATGAGCAAAGCATCTACCTTGCTGCAGCATGCAGCAGAAGAAACCCGTGCCCGCTACTACTTTTCCTTTTCCTTTTCCCGGCTCTTTCGATGACGAAAGCCCACCGCTGTGTTTCACGTGTCATCTGTAGACCGCTTCTGACGACTTACACCAAGCCGGCTCTCTCCACACCTATTCGGTCCCACCACTGTCACGATCGCAGTCATCATGGTCAGCAAACAACGGTGGCTGTCGTCTTCTTCACGGACTGTCTGACCATGCTTTGGCGGAGCAATTGGCGGATCAATTGGTCAACGCGGATACGATAGTGCTGCAGACTAACAGGTCCGAGATGCAAGGCACTGGACCAACAGATCCACATGAAAAGTCTCGTACCTTTTGTACCTTACCGAACCGACAAGACTAGCACCGCGATTCTACCGGTCTGCGACATAACACAAATTTTGCCTCGTGCATCGCTCGCGCAAACCAGACGGCGGCGGCGGTCAAGGTCGCTATCGACTCCAGCTTGAGACTTCTCGCTCTAGTGTAGCGGTGCGTGACTGTTGTTGTCTTCTCGCCGTCGTACACGCTGCACAGTAGCCTGTACCTTGGAAGCGCCGACCAAAAGACCAAAAGGTGAAAAGGGATCAAAGTCCGCCCGACCGGTGCCAGTGCCAGTGCCAGTACCTGGCTACCAAAGCGGATGTACGCGGACGATGCCATATCGCGGTCATCTGCACCTCATCGACAAGGCCGGGCTTAGGCTTTTACCCAACCTGGTCCATACTAACCTAACAGCTCGTCATTGCCGTGTACCTGCACCAGCTGCAACCATGAATCTTGACACGTTGTCTAGACGGCATAAAACAACTTCTCCACATGTGTACCCTACTGACGCGACGTATGCTAACATCACACTGCTCTCATGTCCTGCAGCGCCAGCTCGAGGGCTAGTGAAACGCTTCTGACTTTATGCAAACCATGCAATGCCGCTCAGCCTGCGCGAAACAGCAAGGGATCTGCCGCCAGCGCCTGTGGCGGCGATGGCGATGTGCGTGGTGTTGAGGGGCAAGCCCGGTCTATCAGCCATTACTCGCGGACGGCTACTAAACTAGTGAGGTGGAGTCAGTCAGTACATGGTCACATGTCTCCTTACCGCACACGCCTCCAGCCTATTCCCCTCGACATTAGTGCTAAGAACACAACCTGGCATATACGTTAAATGCTCGTATTCGCCTCATGCAAAGAAACGTTATTCCAAGACATGTGAATCATCACTGCCGTGCATTGCTCCTGTTGTGACATAGTGACGTCTCAGCGCCAGTGACCTTTGCGCGTATTTCAAAACTCGAACCCGAGTTGAAACTTTTGTTTACGCCGCACCGCAGCCTAGTCTTGGGTTTCGTAAGCATACTTCCTAATGTTGTGTACCCATGACGGGCATGCTTACTCCTCGCTGCCAAGTCCTTTGTACAATCGTTGCACCCAGAATCAACCGAGGCAGCCGCGAACTGTAAGTTGGTATCACATTGCTCTGTCTATAACTCATGACTTTTGCCAATAGCCACTCTCCAACCACTGCTGCACTATCCCCAACCTATGCACCTGTCGTATTCGTATCCTACACCGATGCTACGAAATCAACTGCTTCACTCTACGCCGCCTAAAGTACAAGAGCACACTCAAGTCATCCGTGCTTACTGCACAACCTGAATAATTCGTCAGCATTGTGTTCCAGCATGCATGCTCATCATTGACATACCTTTTCCCGAAGCTTGCTTATCCACTGCACAATGCTCTCGCCCTGGTCTGCCCGATCTTCCACGAGCAATGTTTGTGCCCACAACTTCAGGCTTGGGTCGCCGTCTTCCTTGATAATATACAACGTAGGTAGTGTGATGGATCCTACACCCTTTGACTTGTGATCTCTTGACTTCTCGACAACTGCACAATGTTAGATGACTAGCACTATCTGGACTTGATGATATCGGCTCACCTGCTCGTACTCGTTCGGAGTATTCATTGTCCAGAACAGGCAACGAGCCCTTGCCCTGCTTCAACTGCGTACGGTCTTCAACACCAAATACGTCTGCCAAGAGCGCGGGAACAGTATCACGGCCAATCCACCTGATCATGTTAGTTTGTGCGTAGTGCCGGTCACAGGCATGTACTTACAAGAACTGATTGACACCATCGTCCAAAAGGTACAAACCGTATGGGACAATGTTAACACTGGACAAGTTCATGGCAGGCGGCATGGTGATTTGGCCAGTAGTAGGTTCAGGTACACCAGCATCATCAGGCATATCCTAAGACGTGTTAGTTTCAGGAGTAGAGAATATTCTTTGGAAAACATACATGAAGCGAGTAGAAACTCGGGTATATGTATTGCGTAAGAAGCCTCAGTGGCAGTGTGGAGAGGAGGTCAAGAGCCGCTGACCGGAGATCACTCGGAATCTGAGCGCTCTTACGAAGACCCACGTTCTTGATGAGACCCAAGAACAATATCGGGAGAGCGCGGAGGTTCTGAGGCAGTTGCAGACCGCCGCCGCCCATGCTGCCACCTGCCAGCTCTTTCCTGTAGGTCGAAAGGATCTCAATAACCTTGGCTTGCAGAGCGTCCCGTGCCGCATCGAGACCACTCGACAACGCTCGTTCAACAGCCTTGTGGCTGAAGTATGCGGTGATTGCTTGCGCATCTGCTGAGGCATACACCGATGCTAAGCTCTCTGTTGTAGGTACTGCGAGTGTCAACACCCTGATACGGCGCTGGCCACTTGAAGTGGTATGTAGCACAGCAGCCTGGAGACAGGCGAATGGCTTCGAGATTGTCTCGTCGATAGCAACTTCAATCACAACTGCTTGGTCCCTGGGGTAAGCGGGGAAGGCGCACAAATCGGAGGAGCGGTTGAAAAAGTTTCCGTAAAAGGCGGACATCCTCAATCCAGTGGTCGCACGCACTCGGAGCACAGCCTCAAGACCAATCTCAGCAGACAAGTAGTCGGACAACTCAGTTGCGATCTTGACAACATCTTCCTGTCTCGCGGCGTTCCATCCGGGGTAAAAGTATGTCTGACCAGCAGTAAACCGGGGAAGGTTAGATAATGTCGCAACATCCTGATATTGCTGAGAAAAGAGGAACATGTCCACAGAGACCTGGTTCTTGGAACATTCCACAGCGAACGATTTGTACCAGTTGTTAGCCGGTTGCAACAGACTGCCTTCTTTGCCAGTACCCAACAACGACTTGTCTTCTCTAGGATTCAGCGCGGCATGTCCAACATTGGGCAGGGAGGCACCAATAACGGTCAGCTTTCCGCCAAGGGGAGAGATGAGTTTATGTGCGGATCGAAGAGCTGATCCAAGCGCAAAACCAGAAGCGTGTGTGTTCTGGAACATGGTTGGGAGACGGTCGAGGAAATTTTCGATGTTGTTGCGGCATTGGCTAAGGCTAACGAGGAGGTCCGAGGGCATGGGTAGGTAGGGCTCGTCTAGATCGGAAACTACAAGTTGCTGCGGCTCGTTCGACTCGCTGTTATCGGGGGGAATTCCGAAAAAGTGCAGACCGTTGTCGACTGCCATGAAACCAAGGCGCGTTCGGCCATCAGCGTTCGGTATCCGTCCCAGAGCTTCCTTGATCACTCTCGACACAACGGCAAGAAGACCGTTGTTGACTGCCGCCTGTGTGCAGTCCAAAATAATGTAGTAGCACAGCGGTTGTGGAGGTCGGACCATGTACTCCTGGGGAGCAACGAATTCGGTTACAGCGTAGTTCAGCTCTGGTCGCTGCCAACGATCCATGCTCTTTTGTTGTGCCGCATCCCAGTCGAATGCCTGGGGGACGTCGTTTGTGAGGTTGCACATGTTGCACTTCCACCGATGTCCATGGTCCAGAAATGAGACGAACGGATTGATGTAAGCGCGGCATCGGCGACAACGGCTGATGACCTGGTCGTGGACTACCGGTACTGGATCCTCAGAATCGTGCAGGCTAGCATATGGGCTTATAACCAGAGCAAATGGCAGTTTACTCTTCTTGAGGAGGGAGTGGTTGGTCGGGATGGTATTGAGGGTACATCGCAGGTATTTGCTCGACTCGTTTGCGAACTCGGAGGGCGTGGCTGCGGCGTTGGATGGCAGATTGATCGGTGGAGGAGGGTTGTATAGTTCTGAGACGTGAAAAGGCTGAGCGATGAGATCTGAAGGGAACAGTTGATTCTGCTGAGTAGCAGCTGCGGGCTGCTGAACTTGCGGTGCTGCCTGTCCTGGGCCTAGGTTCATCTGTCCAAACTGCTGGCCAAGAGCATTTGGATCTTGGGTTGGTGTCTGCTGCTGACCATATTGCGCTGGCTGGCCATATGCTGGAGCAGGAGCGCCATAGGCAGGAGACGGCCCTCCGTAGGTCGTAGGAGTGTTGTAATTGTAACCACCTGGCGCGGGTGGGTTTGGTCCTTGTGCGGCTGCATCGGCCGTATTGGCTCCAAACTGATAGCCGGTTCCCGCTGCGTAGCGGTCCTTCTTCTTACGGTCCGCCATTGTCAAAGTAGCGGAGGAGAGCAGTAGAAGGGTGCGGAGTGATGGTAGTAGAATTGGCCGTAGTGGTGGGCTTTCAGCGTGAATTTAGGTGAGGTTAAGAGCTCCATGTGTCTTCTTTGGGGAAACGGCACATTCCGCGCTAAAAGGTCCCCGCCAACGCACAGACGAACATCGTAGTGGGACGCGATACATACCTGCATTCCGTTTACATCTAGAGAACTCAAGGCAGCCGTCTAATCCACCAATTTTATTCGCTGAGATGTCGCTGAACCATGGATAGGCATCACTGAAAGCATTCGAGCATACGTATCAATGAGGAAATATCATTAGTTCAGGTATACATATGCACACCATCCATTTACGCATCAAATCAATTACTACACGCCGTCATTGACGCTCAAGGCACCACCGTAAGAGACCACTAGGCAACGTTGGCGACCTCTTGTCGGGGGATCTCATGCTGTCTCTCCACTCTGTCCGCTTCTTCCAAGGGGTTCGCAGATGACGCCGCCTTCTCAAGCTCTACACCTACCGGGCTCTCGCTTCTTACTGTATTTCCGTAGGCACTAGAATCCGGAAGTGAGCTTCCAACTCCAGTTGTGGCTGCCGGTACTGGGGCTCCAGGCATCGCGCCCACTCCAAGGTTTCCTGCATTGGAATGAATAGGCTCCACTTCCAATCGATAGTGGCGAAGATCATCTTCGGCGTCAGTAAGGACTTGACGCGCCATCTCTACCTCGGCGAATGGCGGATGCACGTCACCGGGTACAATTGGCGTGTCGTCGACGAGGTTCAAGAGCCGACGGGCATGCTTAGCAAGGATTATCTGCTTCTCTGCACGCTCGATGGTGGCTGCGAAGTGGTGGTCATAGGCCTCTTTGAACTTCTGGCGGGTCTAGTAGGGTCAGCAAGTGGTATTGATCAATACAGAGCCAACATACAATGTTGCTCAGCTGCGCTTCAGCAACAAGGCTCTGGGCCTCTGCGCGAACGAGCTCCTGCTCAAGCTGTACTATTTTAGTACTCTGTGGTTCCTTGTACTTAAGTTTCGCAATCTCATCAGAAACCTATGCCGTGGTTAGAAATCGGTCACTGACGGCGATGCTATAGTGTACCTTGGTCTTATGGTCTCGGCTTGGCTGCACCGAACTCTCTGTGTTGCGGATCTGCTTCAAGATACCTCGATATTCCTCCAGAGATTGCGCATAGAGATCCTCTTGTTCGGCAATCTCTGCGAGTAGCACTCCAAGCTTGTCTGAGACGTCCGAAATCGTCTCGTCCTCGGTTGCCTCGCCCCACTCAGACAGCTGCTGCGCAATACCGAGCCGTTCGCGTGCGGCAGCCTCGTAGGCACCGATGGCATGGTTCTCCGACTTGATAATCTTGAACAGCTTCTTCGAGAGCTCCGGTTGTTGCGTGCCTCGGAGAGAGGCCATGGTGAAGCGGTGCTTGGGTACGGATTTTTCCGTACTACCACTGCCCTTCTTCGAGCGGACTGAAAGCGATCGATTCCTACGGACATTGGTATTAGCGACCACCTTCAAGGTGTGCAAAGACTCCTGAGCCAATCATGAAAGGGGGGAAACATGACTACTCCGAGACCATGTCTGAGCGCCCGAGCCTGGCTTACATTCTGAGAGCGGTCTGACAATGAAGCGTGTATTGAGTCGTGTATAGTAATCTCCTGATTGACATGTCAGTACGTATTAGGCGGGAAAAGGCGCGAGCGCAAGCGCGCGCATCGCACATGCGCTCCGTAAAACAATTGCAGAATAGATTTGGAGGGGTACCTCTTTGGAAACAATTTCAGGTATGTTATCTGAGACGTAGATATTCAGCGTTTTGGAAGATAGTCTTTGATGAGGCGGGGGTCTGTCAGCCTGAGAATGTCGCGCAAGTTACGGTGATGTCATAGCCTGGCCCGGAAGCTGCGCATCGCGAATGGCAGCCACACACAGCCAGTCAAACCTTCACCATCTGCCGACTCATCCGCTTCTCGATAATTATCACTTCATCTTAAGATCACCTATTTTGTTCTTTGCTGTATCGACTCGTATGCTGTCATCGCCCACGACGCCACCAGTTGCACGGAAAGGATGTTGCCCCCTGTAGACAGCGCGCTGGTCGAGTATTCGGAAGATGGTTTACATGGAGTAGTCCTAATATTTGGTGGGCGCATCATTCAATAGGTCAATATGGAAAGAATCGAATTTTCGCAATATAGCTGTCCGATGTCCTTGAGCCAATGAAGAGGATATTATATGGCAAGCCTTGCTTGCCATTGACGGAAGTTAGAGTCGAGAGGATAATCCACTATTCCTGTACTCTCGAGATTTCCATAGGGAAGCACTTGCTATTGTCAATTTTCAATGCTAGTGTACATCAGTAATCTCTGTAGCCAACATTCACTGCTCACAATCCTATCCGAGTGAAGGGTTTCAAATCACCTGCGATCTTCTGTGAGAATAGCAATAATGGAAAAGTTTCGTTAGCTCAAGCTCGGGGCCGTCCTGCAAGCATCATTGCATACAAGTACTGAGTGCGTCAGCTTATAATGTGAACTACCTTGCGAGACTTTGCTGCCCACTCCCCTGGGCCGTTATCTGGCCTAGTTGACTATCAAAGCCGCTTCTCTCGTGTATACAGCCAGAGCACTCTAGCAAAACCTCATTGTAGCCAGTAGGCTGTTGTATAAAGGTCGCTCTTGCCAATGTTACGTCCACTGACTTGTGCCTGGCTGGCAGGTTCCCCACTGACCACCTTGCTGCTTTGTTGGACTGCTTCCCTCTCATTTACGCCCATTCGGACATCTTCCAATCCATGTCCGTTCTTAGCATCCGCTGTCAATGTTCACCTCGGCGATGATGCCCCCCCAATGATCGAACACATATGACACGGTCGATATCAGCGAGGCAACAAACCATATCATCTTCCTACTCAACAAAACCAGGTTCAGTTCCATGGTAGAGTAGAGTTTTAGGTCTCTCGAATATCCCTAGATGATAACCTCTATGCAATTTTCATTTGCCAACGCTATCTAGTAAGCAGAACCACTTTCGCAACGAGCGATCGCACCCACCGAACAACCGATCGAGCTCACATTGCCAGATCGCAACGCCAGATCGCAACGCGGTCAGTCTGAATAGCGATAATAACGAAAGTGGCATTTCCGCCGTCTCCTTATCTTCGCCACTACAACTGAGTGCTCGGTCCTCACCCAACTCGTACGAATACTAGAAGGTTCACGGAAAGACTTAATTTCATTCGCCAATGACGTGGATGAAAAATCCAACGCACGCTCCGACAATGGTAGCTATGACGGTAGCAAGAACGAAGATAACTTTGACGAAGACAACGCGAGCGGTGGAAGTTTACAGACATGAGCAACATGGATGATAGTAACAAGATTCATAACACGGTAGGCATCAGCTTCGTCGAGATTTCTGACATTGAGGACGATGGTCTGGCTATCAAGACCTCTTCAACTACATGGCCTCTAAACACATGATCACGTTGCATGCTACACATACCATGCCGCATTTGTCACCAAATCGTCCGAATAATCGTCACTTTCATGCAAAGATGCAGCAGTATCGCCTTTTTACCTCACCGAATTCCCATAAAAGTGGAATACACTAGCTATTGGAGCACAGTAAACACGCAGTGGTGGTGCTAGGCGCATACGCCCAATCAACGTGTCATTATTGCATAGGAGAGCCGTTCAAATCAAGCCATTAGCGTCTCTATTTATTTGGAGTTTAACAACACCAATGAAATCGCACTCATAGCATTTTTTATCCAACGCCCAGAATCGTTCGTTCGTTGGTAGAGTCTTGATGACAATTGGTCTACCAGATCACCGAGCAGCAAGGTCCTACGTGTCGCAAGTTCACTTGAATACGAGGCTGGAGGAATAAGCACTTCAGAGAGTAGTCCCCCTACAACTCTCGTTTACCAATGTTAGTTTAGTTACAATGCTACTTCTCACCTCCTATATGCCTAAGTAGTCACTAAAGCTTATATAGTACTAGGTGCTAAGATACTACATTTCCTACGACCATATGTTCTTAGTGTGCCTCCCTTTGCTATTTGTATCTTCGGAGCCGTCGTCTAGAGGTATAGTCCTTGCGATATGACAAGCCATTATCAACCTAACGGAGTTGTGACAGCAGCAGTAGCAACATCACGCACTTGATGCTAGTCCACAGGAATTCTTGTGTTTGTCAAGAAGAAGAAAGACCTGCAGCTCCTAGGGCTTTTGGTATCTATAGGCACTCACACTGGAGGTCACGATACACACCCCGCTATCCGTAGCTGCTGGATTACTACTGTTACTGAGTCTATTCCAGCCCGAACTGATCTCAACTTGAGCATGCAGGCTGTCCTTTGTTTCTGGGGGGACGACCGCTAAACCAGACGACGTTGAACGGTATAGCGTTGGCGTCTTCCACGACCTCGGTTAACTACATGTCGCTCCTGCAGATAACTAACTATAGCCGGCAGGAATTGCCGAAACCTGCACCTGGCCCATCTATGGTCGTAGCGACGACCACCGAGAAAGTTAAGCAAGGCCAGATTGATGGTAGCGCATTCGGTTGCGGCGGAGCTCCGGATCCCGCAATTCTGCACTCTATTCTTGTCGGCGATAATGCTATTTACGACATGTATCCGTCATGTTGTAATGAGTTCTATATACGGAGTATGCCATAGAGAGACTCCAATCAACCCAATAGCTATGATCCCTGCTTTGAACCCCCTTAATGAATCGAATACCTGCAGACTTGGTGATGGTGAATGACTGCTCTAAGTTTGTAGTTTGCGAGCTAAACTGTTCAGGATGGAGGTATGTGGGTGCGAACTGAACGCAACTGCAGCCAACCCGGAATCATCGCATTGGTAGTTTTATTACAGAAAATGCTTGATCTGCAGAACTTGTGTAAGCTGACAATGCCCAGATGGTTCGCCGTAAGCTTTGGCGTCGCTGGGCAACGGGGGTTGTACCTTCTCTCTTCGGTGACATGCTAAACCCAGTCGCACCTCTCACTTCTCGCCCGACAAGAGTCTTCATCAGCTTTTACTAAAATCTTTGGTCCGTCTGTAAAAGTCGGGAACGCACTGTTCGTACCCTTGAGATTAGTAGGACACATCTTAAACGTCTTCACCGCCAGCCGCCACCTTCCGTAGCACTTACCGGTAGACATAATGCTGACACGAGTGGTGAAGAAGCGGTAGCGAGGCAGAATGCGGACATCCGTTATATGAGAGAGAGAGTAGGTTGCCCCTAAAGTATCGCGTGCTATTGTTAAATGACGCGTGAACAAGGATACCACGCCCATCTCTCAAATCTCAGAGTCGGGATTCGTCAACCACGTCGCTCAACCTATGTAGTGCCGTGTTGGGTGAAGTTGGTATAAGCAATCTGGTGGGTACCCAGTCCTAATGCAAATTTGTCTCGGCTTCTGTGAGCGGGGTTTTGGAAGGGATAACAAATGTGGCCGGACAATCATTTCTTTGGGCCCGTATACGTATGGGGTGCAGGTGCGGTGGCCCCAAACGCGGGGAGTCTCTGTGCCGATCCGACATGTTGCGCAACCCCGTATTAAAATTCAGCGCGCGTCTCGCGTCAGATTACTCGGGATTCCTCAGCGCTTGAGCGTAATACTGATGTTAGCTGCAATGACGCCAGCTTTTGGCATAGATGCGTAGGCGTGTGGCGCAAGCTGCTACCAGCGGACGTTGTGTGCGAGAACTTTAACAAAGTATGTTACTCATGGGATTTCTATTTTCGGTCCGACTTAATGGGAGAAGATTTCCTTCTTGAAGCGGCGATTAAACTGAATCTAACGTAGGTTGGGATCTACTAGCGCAGGCTTACGGAGAAACGTACCTGAGAAAGCAAAAGCAAAAGGGAAGGTGAAGCTAGCGAGACGGCGGGGTCCCGAGGTCCTTAGCGTCATGTTAGTGAGGTGCGCTGTAGGTCACGGTGTGATACGTATCCATGGACGGCACTATTTCGCATACTTTACATGAAGGTAGCAGCTTTGCTTTTCCTGTTGCTCACTATACCTGCTCTCCTACCCGCTTTCCAGTCATTTGGTCAGTCAAAATGCCCGGATCACGGTGCTTATGCCTCCGCACTTTCTGCAGAGCTGGTTCAATATGGCGCAAGAGCGCAACGGCTTGTCAACCTCTGTGGCGCAGTTACGGCTCCGACCCCTCTGGCCCCTTGGCGGTATCACGAAGGCCGTTGCATTCAGGTGTGGTGTGGTTCAGCGGTCGTTCGGTCAGCGGCCCAACCGGACCCCTCACAGCATGGACTACCCTAGACCTGGCGCATACCGAGAGTTATGCTCGACTATATGCACTCACGACAATGCGAAGTCTACGCCCGAGCCATGTATAGACGTAGCAGTTGCAGTTCTTGGTTCGCATTCAGGTACAGATGTGGCACAGTAAAAACGTTTGGTATATACACCATTCAAGCTATTATTGCATATCAGATATGCTATTTCGATACTGTCCACAATGCCTTGGCTTCATTGGAAGGATCCGGGTCGGTTGGGGATGGCTATACTCAATTTGTACACCTGCAGAATGCAGCGCACACCTGGGCAGCTTGGCAGCTCCTTGTAACTTGGTCACATCCGCGGACCATTCTATTTTCTACTCTCATCGTTTTCCATGAGCAAAGAGCAAAAAAGGGAATCAATTTCGAATTACCCGTGGCTCAATAAGAAACCTGCGATTAACTTAACCATGATGACATCGGGCGGTGGGTCGCACCGCCGGCTTAGGTAGCTACTTAAGTACCTATCCACAAGGTGATTTTGATTGGCCGCCCTATACAGTAAGCCCCGAGTAAAAGGGACATTTGGCTTTGCTGTCAAAGCAAGCAAACGTCAGCGCACCAGCATAGTTCCACCTTCAATAACACTTAACATGACTCAGTATCATTGTGAAACTAGATGGTGAGTCTCAAAGAGAGAGGACATGGCAAAGCAAACAGCTAACCTTGAACATTGGCAGTGAAGTACGGAATGCAGTAATAAATGTGCGACTAGTCAACTACTGTTGGTAATCAGGGCAGTCCTGGATGCAAGCACAAATTTCCGGCTTGGCATGAGTCCATTCACGGGTTACAACGCAGGCATCATAGCCAGCCAGGCCAATCCAGTATGTCAGCAATGATGCGAGAACCTCGTGATTCTGGCCCATGGGGTTTAGAAATCTTGCCGAGACGGGCCGAGATATCTGTGCTCAACGGCGGCTGGCTGCTGCGGCATCTGGGGACGCCCTTTATCACGCAGTGATCGGCCGGTCCCTTGCGACCTTTGGATGACGCTAAAATCATCACCTCTTGACCTCGAGGCTTGGCAATCGGGGTGAGCCGCCACTTCCAACCTGTTGTCCGTTGTTGGCTCCGACTAGGATCAACATCCACCCCAAATGAACAGTCTAGCCGTGTTTCTTTCCCTCAGCAGAGTCTGATGATGATGCTGATATACGGCTGACATTTTATTCGCTGATTTTGGCTTGAAACTCAGATACCGCATATTCGGATAGCTCACGGACCTAATGCATCTTTCCGAACTTTGCGCGCCGACATGCAGCAACGACATGCTGAAGGACGCCCCTGAATGATGTTCGAGTCTCGTCTATCTTGAGAAGAATGAACTTTGAATGTGTCGGCCGTCTGATTGGGGAAACGCACACGCGTTCACGTCCCACGCACGCTGCTGCTCCACCTCAACGCCTTGGCCACATGTCGGTCGCTAATCGTGGGGCACCTATTATACGCCTGTCTCTGATAGACTATCTGCGAATGGTCAATCTCGGTCGGACCCATTTCCAGAAACCTTTCGATCATGACCGACTGGTCGAAATGGGTGTCTTGCTATTTGCTAGACCACAGCGGTCGAATACTCGCCCCCAGGCTACACCCCTGTCCAAAGGATGGACCCCTAGTACCACGATAATCCGTCACTGTTTAGCGTTCGGAAAGATATAAGTCGACCGCTTTGCCTCTGCTTTTTGAGTACCACCCGCACACCTCACCTCCAGTCATTCCTCAAGATGGTTCGCGCTCACCTCTTGACCGCGGTTGCTGCTTTCTGCCATGTGGCTAATGCAGGATGTCCCTATATGGATGACAAGGCTCCTGTCCGCCGAGATGGTGCCTCATCCGGCGCTCAGTCCACCGACGAATTCATGAAGCAGTATGAAATCGACGACAAGGACGCGTACCTTACCAGTCCCGTCGGATCAGCTTTCTCGGATCAAGAGTCTTTGTCAGCCGGCGAGCGTGGCCCTACGTTGTTGGAGGATTTCATCTTCAGGCAGAGTACGTCCTTTTCACCCTCACGTGGTCTCACTAGCGCTAATTGTCATTTCCAGAAATCACTCACTTTGACCACGAGCGTGTTCCCGAGCGTGCAGTCCATGCTCGCGGAGCTGGAGCTCATGGAGAGTTTGAGAGTTTTGGTGACTGGTCGAATATCACTTCCGCCTCGTTCCTCAATGGTGCGGGCAAGAAAACGCCCACGTTCCTTCGATTTTCCACCGTGGCAGGCTCCAGAGGCTCTATAGACACGGCCAGAGATATCCACGGGTAAATAAACCTTGCTCTAATGCTATGCTTTCTATAAACTAACTGCTCGATAGGTTTGCTTTACGCTTTTACACGGACGAAGGAAACTTTGGTGAGTTTAGTGGTGGTCACGTGACTTGCGATTTCACAACTAACACGACCAGACATCGTCGGAAACAACGTTCCTGTGTTCTTTATTCAGGATGCCATTAAGTTCCCTGATCTTATCCATGCCGTCAAGCCCAAGCCCGATCGCGAAATCCCCCAGGCAGCCACTGGCCACGACTCCGCTTGGGACTTCTTCAGCCAGCAACCAAGCACCATGCACGCACTGCTCTGGGCTATGTCCGGACACGGCACCCCTCGTAGCTATCGTCATCTTGATGGATGGGGGGTGCATAGCTTCCGCTTTGTGACAGACGCTGGTGCAACCAAACTGGTCAAGTTTAGGTTTCGCTCGCTTCAAGGAAAGGGCAGTCTGCTTTGGGAAGAGGCACAGATGGCGGCCCAAAACGCCGATTTTCATCGCCAGGATCTCTTCGACAGCATCGAGAAGGGCCAGTACCCCGAGTGGATCTTTGAGGCGCAAATCATGGAAGAAGCCGACCAGCTCAAGTACGGATTCGATATGCTTGACCCAACAAAGATTGTCCCGGAAGACATTGTTCCTTTCACGCCTCTCGGCAAGCTTACGCTGAACCGCAACCCCCGCAATTACTTTAGTGAAACAGAACAGGCAAGCCTTCTCTAACCCTGCCCTCACTAGCGTACATTTCACTAACTACTGGCGTAGATCATGTTCCAACCAGCTCATTTGGTTCGTGGTATCGATTTCACTGATGACCCTTTGCTCCAAGGTCGCATCTTTTCCTACTTGGACACACAGCTCAACCGTCACGGAGGCCCGAATTTCGAGCAACTTCCTATTAACCAGCCTCGAGTCCCTGTTCACACCAACGACCGCGATGGCGCTGGCCAGATGTTCATTCCCTTGAACACCGCTGCCTACAGCCCCAACACCTTGAATGATGGCTTTCCCAAGCAAGCAAACCAGACCACCGGAAGAGGATTCTTTACCGCTCCTAACCGCTCTGTTGGCGGGAAGCTCGTGCGAGCAGTTTCGTCGACCTTCGCAGATGTTTGGTCTCAGCCTCGCCTCTTCTTCAACTCTCTTTCGGCTATTGAACAACAATTTGTTGTCAACGCTATTCGATTTGAAATTGCGCAGCTCAAGAGCACCGTCGTCAAGACCAATGTCCTTATCCAGCTCAACCGTATCAGCCATGAGCTAGCGGAAAGAGTAGCGGTCGCCGTCGGCATGACTGCGCCAGCTGCTGACCCTACGTACTACCACAACAACAAGACCATCGGTGTTCGCCCAGGCGGTGCTCCCCTCCTCAAGCTCGATGGCCTCTCGGTCGGTTACCTCACCTCGGCGTCTGCGGTGGACAAGGCCGCGGATCTGAAGAAGGCCTTTGGAGACGTCAAGGTTGGTCTGACTGTCGTCGCCGAGCACCTCGGTGAGGGCATTGACCAAACCTACTCGGCTACAAACGCAGTACAATTCGATGCTATCATCGTGGACGCACGTGCCCAAGACCTCTTCGCACCTACAGGCAGCCTTGCCAACTCGGGCAACGCCACTACCAAGGCCCGTTCAACTTTGTACCCGCCAGGAAGACCCCTTGATGTCTTCCAAACCGGATACAAGTTCGGTAAGCCTGTTTCCGTACTGGGATCTAGCAAGACCACCTTCGAGGCTGCAGGCATCCAGGCAGACACCCCTGGTGTCTATGCCTTCGATGCGGCTAGCGATGCTTCGGCAGTTGTCAAGAAGATCTCTGAAGGACTGTTGACCTTCAAGTTCCTTGACCGATACCCTCTCGATTCTCAGTAGGCGCAGCGCAAGCTCTCATAGATTGGTGTTGTAATTAGATATATAGTTATAATTGATTGGTATCGCTTCACGTATACAGCCCAGTGAAACTGAAACATGTACCGTGTTGTCACTCTTGCTACAAGTATACAAGTATGTCTGACGGTACTATAAAGCCAACAGTCATGCGTCGTATACGTCAGGTCTCATTCATTTCCACATAACTGCCATGTTCATGTTGGCCGCTAGCCAGCTTCACACTCAGCGCGTACGCACGCCCGCGCACGCTCGCACAGAAACGCCAAGATGTCCATGACAACATCCAGAGGTCCTTGTTGGAGGCATGTTAAATTTGATGACGGATGTGGTTGTTGTGACCCTCGTGGCTCAATCTCACGCTTCTCACGTGGTAGGTGTCACGGATTAGACACATGGCCGTGCTCCATCGCTCATGGCAACCCCGCGTCGCCACGCTTCACGAACGACAGCAGTTTTTGGGGCCGAGCTCGCTGCACGGCTCGCTGCAAGTCATAGGGGCAGTTGTCTGTACTACAGGTCATAGGCACGTTTCACGTAGTCGATAGAGGCCATAGTTGGTTTCCCGGCCTACGGCAAGCTACAGCAGATGTGGCTTGGCAATGCAGGGCAGGGGCAGGGTATTGGGAGATTAACTGCTACTCAACGGCGCAACCCCATTTACGCTGCTACACACTGCTCCAAGTTTTTACATACTCAACTGCCTGTCTCACTCATAGACGTTACAAATTTCCGAATACATTGCAATCTGCTGTCAAACGTCAGTCAGCCGCACAGCCACAGAGATCATCACATTACCGCTGATCGCTCTATAATTGGACAGTTGGTGTAAGCAGCGACGTGGACAACACCGACTCTTTGGGACTCGTTTCCTCGCCCTACAGAGACCTGAAAACACAATCATGTCGACCGCAACAGCAAATAAGCCACCTGCGGGTACACCTCGTCGCGAAGTCAACGCCCGAACTGCTGCAGCTTCCCCAGCAGCTTCGAGCCGCACACCTGCCCGCTCCTCGACGCCGACCTCATCAGGAGCCACAGGCGTGGCACGAACACGCTCAGTTCGCGGCGGTACTAATGGCGCACCAGTGTCAGCGCGCGCGGCTGTCAAGAAGCCCGCCACCGCCTCCAACCTGAGTAACGCATCACCGGCTGATGCTGTCGATGAAGACGCCCGAGAAGAACAATCTGCACTGCTTCAAGAACTCAAGGAACGACTGCAAAAGGCAGAAGCCGCAGCTGAGGAGCGCCAGAAGCAGGTCGAGGTTCTGAATGCTCGGCTAGACGACGCGCTGACCGAACAAGCCAAATTAGAGGAACGTGCACACGAGGAGGAAGAGAAGGTCGAGGCCTTGGAGAACGAAAAGAAGGAGCTAACACGCCAACACCGCGAGCTCGAAGGCATTTACGAAGCCGAGCGCGCGCAAGCCATGAAGGAAAAGGAAGAGATCCAGTCACGCGAGGAGGATATGCAGGGCACCATTCAGCGGCTCAAGGAAACAATGGCCTCGAAGCACATGCCCAACGGCGAGCCTGAAGACGAACATCAGTTGAAGCGATCATGTAAGTTGACGTACCGCATGTGGCGGCCATGTTTTGACCCAGATGTACTGACCCAGTCACAGCAAGCTTTCGCAACAACCCCTCCCGCAGCAACTCGTCGCAGAACCTCGAGAATGTTGCCTCGTTCGCACCACCCAATTCCGTGCAGCGCAGCAATTCACGCAACAACTCCAAGCTTATCCACCAAAAGGACAAGATCATCGAAGACCTGCGCCTAGAGCTTGCTGAATACCAGGTCAAGGTACTAGAAGTCGAGAATGCGGGTGGCGGGCGCATGCGCGAGCTAGAGAAGCAGCTACTCGAGACACGTATGACCAATGCGCGACTGATGGAGGACAACGAGAGCTTCCAGCTTTTGTTGGGCGAGAAGACGCTCAACGGCGACTTGAGCCGTGGCGAATTTCTGCGCGACACTGCTAATGCCGAAGACCGTTTACCATCTCGTAACGGCCCGTCCACGAGCCTTGCTGACGAGCTTCAGTCCGCCGAGGAGGGCGACGCTGAAGTCGTGCGCAAGCTCGAGGCTGAACTGAACAGCATGAAGGCTCAGAACCAAGCCCTCACCCTCTACATCAACAAGATCATCGGCCGTCTGCTCACACATCAGGGCTTTGAATCCGTGCTTGGCAACGACATCGAGAGCGAGCATGGTGCTCCCGATAAGAACAAAGAGTTGCCACCACCTCCCCAGGACAGCGAGCAGCCACAGGGTTTCCTGCAGCGCGCCAAGTCCGTCGCCATGGGTGGGAATCGCAAGCCGCGTCCTCTCAGCGCCATGGGCCCACCACCCATGGCAAGCCCACCGCAGCCGAGCGCTCACGAAGATCCTTCGACTGCGCCAAGCATCCCTCTTACCCGCTCAACTTCCGGGCGTCACCCTAGCGGTAACCATCACCGTCGCTCCACCTCCGAGGTGCCCAACGCTGCAAGCGTTGTCAACAACATGTACCGTCCTTCCCCGACAGGTACTCCCAACCCGGCCTCCTCCCCGGGTCTCGTTTCGCCACGCAACTCCTTCTTTGGCCTTCCCGTCAACAGCGCCAATGGGCCCACCAACCCTGTGTCAAGAGTACCTTCTGGCGCAGGTCCCATCCCAGAGGACAAGGAGGTTGACGCTAGGACTGAGTCTTCGTCTGCTAGCCACGTTGACACACCCAGCCCGCCTCGCCAGCTGACCCGTAGCGATACCAGCACCGGTGTCATGACCGGCAAGGGCATGCGCCCATTGCGCCTAGTGCAGAACGAGGAAGAAGCCATGAAGGCTCGCAAGGCAGCCAACCGCGGCAGCTGGTTCGGCGGTCTCTTCGGCCAGGCACCGCCGTCCGCTCAGCAGGAAAACACACAGTAGACACTGTCGCTGTATTCTTCCTGTTTCATGATACACAACACAACGCAGCACCCCCCATAATTACATGTAAGTATTCTTCTTTACAGACTTGTTTGGCGGCAGCCTACACATTACTCTGTAGTATTGTAACTGTGTTTGGTCCGCCTACTACCCCCCTTTTTGGATACGACGGGTGTTTGATACGACTTAATGTGGCAAGAAAGAAAACTCTGTCAAGACATGATGCGTGGAATGGATGGTGAGAATATATATATCTATAGTTTTACTCTGGGTATCATACTTGTAGGGGAGGGGAGGAAAGAGAGGATGTGAAGAGGATGTGAAAGTGGAGGGGAATTTATTCTTTGATGAACGACAAGACAAGATGAATGGAATGGTTATTATGGTATATGTTACTTTACTCGCTCACTCGCTCAATCCCCTGGCTGGCATGTACACACGACTTTCTCTTTATACCCCGTCTGCTGTCTTGGGTTCTGTAGGGTAGGGTGTTTAATGGTATTCTTTATTCTTAACTTATTCTTGTCTGGTCTGTGAATGATGCTGAGGTATGTCATGTGGTCCAAAGTCGTACTCTCGGTAACACCGCATCAAAGATAGAGAGTTGTGTCTCAACAGTGCTATGTGGAAGACAGTTGCGAAGTGATAGCTATCGCTATACATCTCCAAACTTTCCTTTCCATCGTTCCTGATACATCCAACATGACAGTAGGCTATGAGACTGCCTCCCCTCACTGCACCTCCTTCCCCTTCCTTCTCACTCCCATTTCTGTCCTCATCCCTCCCCTCTACGCCTCCACACCCCTCGGTCCAACACTCAAACTGCCGCGCCGCCCTTCCTGACACAGCACACACGCGACACTGCTACAAGCCGTCCTCTTTTCCATGCGGTGAGGACACTGGCTTGGACCCATACCATGTATTTCGGCGTGACTGCAGCGCGTATACCGGATGTGCATGATGTGGTCGCAGGTGTCTTTTGCTCCTTTTGAAGAAGGAGAGAAGGAGAGACAGGTTGTTTGGATCATGTAGCACATGTTGGCGTCTGTGGAGGTTGTTGGAGATGGTGGTGGATGTGTTGTTAAAGTGTTGTAGGCGATGTTCGCTGTCCTGGAGTAGCACTTGGGTGTGCTTTAGGTGGATGTGGCTGAGGTAGCTATGTCGATGATGTGGTATAGTGATTGTGAGAAGGGCGGTTATACACGAGCAGTGGGGATTGCTCTTATACCAATGGGGTTTGTAGGGTGTGATTGTTAGTCGTGTGAGTGACGTGATGTCTCTCTCACTTTCGAGTGTGTCAAACATTGTATTGTCTCGGGGTGAGGTGAGAATTGTGAGTAGCTTGTCTTGGGGCTGTTGCCTTGTTTTCAGGGTCTGAGACATGAGCACTGAGCAAACACATTTTATTGGACCAGACATGGTCGTTGCACTTCTTGTGAGGTTGCTTTGACGCTTGGGAGGGGAGGTGGGCCGGACACCAGAAAGGAACTGCGAGAGCAAAAACACTTGCCTTCACAAGTACACTCTAGTTGAACAGGCGGACTTGCGCTAGGCTAAGTTTTGAGACAAAGAGACGGTTTCATAATATCACCAATTCACTTTCATGGCTGGTGCTATGTTCAATTTTTGGAAGAGACGGTGTAGTGTATGAAGGCTTGTTGATTGCTTGTGTATTGACATTGATGATCATCCAATCCTCTCTCACCGGATATCTTGTTCGTGGCGCGCAATCTAGTTTTTGCCAAACCAGGTCTTGTGTCCCTGCCGAATTTGTCAGAGGTAGTCCTGCGGTCCTTGGAAGGTCGCACTTACGAGGACGAGACGACCCATCATGTACATGCTGGCGCTGAGGCTGCCGAACAGGAGGACCTTGTAACCGGGGATCATCCACTTTCCGCGGGCCTATAAATCTTCCTGTCAGCGTATATTGCTCCAAATCTCCAACTCTCTAGGACACTGTCCATATCAACCAAGCGCTGGTGCTCCCTCTTCATCCACATATAATGTGCACCGCGCTTCCCCTCTCTTATGTATTGGTAACGCACCTTCTCCCAGGTCCTCAGTCCGTCGTGCTTCTGGTGTTCGCGTTGCCAGTAAGGAACGCGGTTCTCGCGCATAACCCAGCTGGAGATTGTCAGTGTCGAGCTCCGTGGGGTGTGCTAAGACGGCTGCCGCAAGCTGCCAGCGGCGTATCGTCGCTGCCATAGTCCTCTCGAAGACGTACCCTGCCATTGTGAAGAGTGGAGATTTGTAATTCGCGGCTTGCGGGGGCAATTGGTAGTTTCGTGGGGTTGACGTTGTCTTTGAGTCGCGAGGTCGAATGATGCATCAGCGGAACATTGGAAGTCGAGTGCCAAGACGCTTAACTCTTTCGAGAGCAGCAACTTCCGAAATTCCCAAGGAAAACTGACGAAGAGTAAGAGAAAGTTGCTTGCGCCAATGGACTGATATCACCCTCTCTTCCTGTCTCGTTCATGACACTGGCCGTTGACAGGCTCCTCGCCAGTCCGGCTGCCTTGCGACTCCTGCGCTCCCTTGTCAATGGCTCAGAACTCCCCGCCGCATGTTCTGCAGCAACGATTTGCTGCCATTCGTATACAGCCCGCCGCAATTATTCAAACAATCCGACAGATCGGTCCAAATCCACGTCAAAGCCACAATGGAAGCGCTTGAAAGATGCAGCCAAAGAAATCGCGATCCGAAACCGAGTGCGCGAGGCACTGCTCAATGACGATGCGAACGATACCGCCAAGCCGACGGTTGACATTTTCCAAAATGATGTTATACGTGTAGCAAAACGAGAAGACGACCCTGCACAACTCGCCGCTACTTTGGCATACGAGGAGAGACTCTATAAGGGCCAGGGTGTGCGCAATGTCTGGCGAACCATCCGTCATCGAGGATACCATCTGCCCACTGAAGAGACGGCCGACGCCGAGGTACTATGGGGAACATTTGCCAAGTATCATCTGATTGTACCTAAATTGATAGAATATGCAGAAGAGTTGTTTCGAGAGACAGGCAAAATCTATCCTCGCCTGTATGAATTGGTCATGGCCTACTGGCTGCCACAGAGACCCAGGCAGGCGTTGAAACATCATTATGCACTGGTCAGAAACCTTAAACTCCAGAAATTACCATTGCGAAGTTTGGCCCGTTTAGGGCGGTCGACATGGAAGCCTGCCACGTACGAAGTGTTCCTCGAGATATACGGACAGAGCGACGAGAGGGACGTCTATGACGAGGTGGTGCCAGCGCTGATTGAGAAAGGAGGTATCAATGTGGCACGGCAATGGCATACAATATGTATTCTGCTTAGTGACAAACCATCAGAGTCCGTTGCGTCACACCCAGTCATTCGGCTGTTTGCAGATGTCAAGATAGCTCCACATGAAGTACGCTCCGAGGAGAAGATGACCAAGATGCACAAGCGCGAAACAATCAGATATAATCAAGACCTGTTACGACGCTTGGCAGGCCCCGATACAGCCCCGATTCGATTCGAAGACTCGTTCGTCGCCCGCATGTTCGCAACGAGGACCTTTACACCCGCTTCCGTTATACAAGGGCTGATCATGGTTGGCGTGAATGAGATTGGACCACAAGCTGTGCTTACCATGGCGGCGCAAACACAACCAATAGAGGAGCTTCCAAGGAGGTTCGAGGAATTACGGGCAGCGGGCATCGCCCTGCAAGGCTGCGTCTTCTCCTTGGCTTTAGAGAAGTTTGCAATGGAGCAGAAATGGCACCTGGCGCGCAGTATGATAGAGAGCGATCAGCATCCAGATGTTTTTGGCGATACGGGCATACAGCGAAAGCTGCTTGAATACTACCTCGAGCAAGGCGATCAGTTGCAAGCCCAACGTACCCTTGCCATTCTGACTCTCTTCCACAACGACTCTAGCCAAGAATCCTGGAATCTTCTCCTACAAGTCAACATCGAACGCACCGGACCGCACCACGTCATGGAAGTGATCGATGGCATGCGTATCCGGGGCGTCATGTTACTACCGGAGTCACTCAAGGCAATAAAAGGCTTGCTAGCCCAGCGACAGAGAGGAAACAGACCCGTCATGCGCAAATTTGACGATTTACGGTTTGTTGCACGTGTCTTTATGACGATACTAGAGAGTGGTATAGCTCCTATTGGTCCACCCCAATGGCGCGAGATCATACGCCGATTTGGCATGCTTGGGAGGTTTAGAGAGCTCCGCAGGCTCTTGCTTTGGCTTCTTTGCTGGTACGCACCGAGAGGAACACTCCAATTCACAGCGTTGCCACGGTCACCATTTTTGGAGCCGGCGACAGCGAAGCTACGTACTGCGTATCCCGAACGTTACCATTACTTCCACTTCCCAGCCATGGTTAACCAACGCGAGAACAAACGTCATCCCATTCGTCAATTATGTCCACCTCCTCTTATACAAGCACTCATTGTTTGGGGCTTCCGAATGGGGATGCTCCCTAATGCTCAGTTGGAACAACACATGCTTGGCTCCCCATTAGCGAAGAAACACTACCGACGCCGCCTGCTCCAACGTGGTATTCTTAACCGTCTCGAATGGACCATCGGCCTGCGTACAGTAGTTCAGCTACGTGATCTTGGTGTCTTTGTACATCACCACACTGTGCTCAAAGCCTTGCAGGCCCAGATGATAATTTTGTTTGGTCACGGTCGATCACTCAAAAAAGAAAACAGGATCATGGAACAGGTCAACACTCTGTCGTACGCCCGCTATGTCCGCGAGATCAACAGGATATGGGGTAAGCCACTCTTGAGGGAGCCTCAAATCTTTCGTACGCACATGGCATATGGCCAGACGTGGCATCCACGCTTGCGCCGGAAGACTAATCGCAATCAATGGATCAGCCTCGGTGAGATGCTGGGTCCGGAATGGCAGGCTCGAGATGACGGAGGGGATGCGTCCGCTTGGTCTCGTACTGCTAGCGAGCAAGACGCCAGGGTTTTTGGTGAACTCCAAAAGCGGTTTGAAATGGAGGCTGAAGCCATCAAGTCTAACGGAGACCCCAAGGCATAGCTTTGCCGTAACATGCATTGACGAATACATCATGTTCAAAACTCGCAATCTCATGTATGTATGTGTGCTGTAGCTTGCACATCGGCTTACCCAGAAGCCGAATTAAAACCTTTGAGATGCCCATCATGTCCGGCGCTCATCACATGATCTGTGCTCCAGTTGTCCATATGAACACCTCTTTACCTCCTCATCTTCTTCTTTCCTACTTCCCATATCTTCCAAAACTCAAACCTGAAACTCTAAAACATGACCAAATTTGTTCTGATGTATTCCGCTTTTTCTTGATAAATCTTAAAAGACAGTCGGCTGTTCGACATGTTCTTTCTTCTTCGACCATTCTCTTTCCCCATTTTCTCTAAGAACACCAGAAATGCGTAAGAAACAAATTGATATGAATACCTTTTTATAGGCGGATCAAAATAATATTACCACAGCTATATGCTTTCCTCTTCTCCGCCTTTTTCACTTATTTATCAAAACAAAAATACAGAGGCTCCGCTCCATGTCTTCTCTGCGACTTCTCGAATTTGAAAAGAAACAAATGTCTATGCATATGGTTGGCTGCGAATACAACAAAACAGACAAACACTACTACTGTTGGAAGGTCTATAGCACTAGTGCTGAAAGGAAATAACGATAACTAGGAATGCATTCTGTTCGGTGATGGTGATTGATTTATTACGAACACAGCTGCTACGAAGGTATACCTAAGCTCTGCGCAAGGTGGGCCGAAGTCGGGCCGAAGTGTCCAGCAGCCGACGTCTCTACCGATACTCACGATCCGACACTGGAAGTCTTTTCTTTCTGGGTAGCTAGTAACTCTGCTTGTATCGGTAGTGACAGTATGTGTTGATGGTAACTGTGTGTAGCATCAACCATCAAAGCTTGTCGGCCTCTGCACCCATCCCTCTACTCGGACTGTCAGCTTATTGCCGTCAATAAAGCGTTCAAGAGCGCGGTTTGGCGATGCCTTGGTGAAGGCGTCTGCAGGATTGTCTTCACCATTGATCCAGCGGATCTCCGTGATCTCGCGACGCTCATATGATTGGCGCAGCGCCATGATGTCGATCATGAGACGCTTTTCCTTCGTCGTCCCAAGCTTTACTAGGCACTCGTACAAGGAGTACGAGTCTGTACAGATAACCAAGGGAATTGCAGGTAGTCTAAGTCGTTCTGTAACTATCCTCAGCGTGGTTGCAACTGCAATGCCTATGTCAAAGCCGTTGACCATGCCGTAGATCTCTGAGGCCAGTACGCTCCGTGTGATGCGCTTGCATTTTGTAGAGCTGTAGTGGATCACGTTGCCCTGTATTGTGAAGGTGTTGACGTCAATAGACTCGTTGACGAGCATAAGGACAAAGCCTAGCTGTGAGCTGATGGCGCGTCTTGGCGGTATACGTCGTCGCCAGAGATGTGGTGCAAGAACGCCTGATCTGCAAGGCATTGCTCCGTGAAAAACTGCTGTTCAAGGTATGCTTCCGCGACGTCGTCATCGTCGTCATCCTCGCAGTCTTCCTCCTCTCTCCAGCCTCTCTGATTGTACTGGCTAGTGTGCTCGATCCCTTCGTATTCTGCAAGATGTACGGAGAAGTCCTTGGGGGGCTGTGTACCTGTAAAGTATAGCGTAGAGAAGAACTGTGTACGGGCAGCCTTGCGCTCTTCGTCTGTGTGGTTGGTAGGCCAGCATCCTTCCTTCTGGCAAACAAAGCATTTCTTCCTCCAGCGAGGCTTAAATCCTCGTCCGTTGTCGTCGCGCTGCTCGCCTCCTCGATATGCTCCTCTAGATCCGCCTCTGAATCCTCCTCCACCTCGAGATCTACCTCGGATTCTTCTATTGCCGTTGTATCGGCGATCTAAGTAGTATTGGTCCTCTGTGACCATCTGGGTAGTGTGTTGCCGTGCAAGGTGTGTCTCAACTGCAGAACGTAGGTCTGAGAAGAGTCCTTCACAGATTGTGGCTGGTTTGAACAGTGCCATCTCAAGCTCTGGTACTCCTCGGCAGGCATTGATGACAGTGGTACGTAGGGCATCCTCGCCCTCAAAGTTCTTGCCAAGGGCACGCTGGCATAGCTGCAGCTTGTCAAGCAGGATCTGCAGAACCTCGTGTAGTCCCTTGTCGGGGTTCTCTGTGCGGGTGCGAGCGAAGGTTGTAGTCGTCCAGTCTGTGTAGTAGTGCTGGTGATGGACGTCATGGTCGAAGTGGTTTTTGATTGCCATGTACGCATCAGCAAAGCTGTCATCTCTCTCTACAACCTGTATGTAGAATGTCTCTGCACGTCCGGTAAGGATACGGGGAAACACTGCGTGAAACTGCTCTTCTTGGATATCTACCTGCCAGCAGATGCTGAAGAAGATCTTGATCTTATCGTCTAGGAGATCGTACGCATTCCCTGTATACTTGTTGCTATTGTCCCATAGCTTAGAGAACTGCGTGATCGTATTAGCGTCGAGTCGATCGTTGCGGGACCATCGCGGCGGTAGCGTCTTGTACGGGTCGTATGGTGGTTCGGGTGGTCTGTTAGGGACGCGGTTCGTTGGCTGTTGCGGAAATGGCGTGACTTCGCGATATGCAGTCGCTGGCGGCCGTGTCTGTAGTTGCGCACGCCCTTGTTGCGGCTGCGCGGCCTGCTCCCACAGTTGTCGATGCTGAGGCCCTTCCAGCGTACCGCTCATGTGTAGCGGCTGTTGTGGCTCTATTGTTTGGGAACGGCTCTGGACGCCTTGTCTCACTCTATACTGCTCTTGTTGCTCGCCCTGCGACGGTCGTTGTAATTGCGACGGCTGTGGTACTTGCGGTGGCTGTTGTAATTGCGGCGGTTGTTGTAATTGCGGCGGTTGTTGTACTTGCGGTGGTTGTTGTACAGCTGGATAGACTGTGTGCTGAGTGTCCTGTTGGCGTTTATTGCTCTGCTGGCGCTGGTACGCTTCGGACTGTTGGTCGAATTTCATGGCTCGAAACTCTGCTGGTTCCCATTCAAGAGTATTCTCTATACCTAGAATGTTGTAGAGAGAGTCCGCCACCCTGGCGTGATTGTTGCCAGTGTATACTCCCCGGTGTCGTAGCACACTCTTAAGAGACCTTAGTGTACCACGCTCAACCTTGCTAAATAGCTCCTTCGTCCATCCTTCAAAGTCCCATTTGTAGTCAATGAAGAGGTCATCGTCCCAGGCCATTGACACATTGTAGTCGTGGATAGCTTTAGCGACCCACGTTGTTGCGTGTGTCTCATTTGCGTCCGCCGGTGCGGGTACACCCCAGAGAGCTGTATTGATGACCTTGAGTGCAACTGTGTATGGACAGTTTTCCATAAGTTGTTCCGCGGTAAATTTGGCCCATGGTGAGTCTAAGAGGTGTTCTGATTGCTCATTCTGTAGTTGATTCTGAGCTTCAGCAGAGTCTGCAGAGCTTATTTCGCTTTGGTTATCCGCCATCTTGCTAGCGGGTGTTGACGCGTTGTCGGTGTTGTTGTCTCGCTGGTTGGTCGTGCCAGCGCTTGTTGTTGTACGTGATCGGATCGTCCGGAGACGCTCGTACGGTTGAGTTGTATTGCGTTGCTGACGCGCTCTGTGTTCGCGGATTAAGCTAAACCAGCAGCTGTAGAGGGAGGTTAAGAGTGCTTTGTGTTATCTCTGCCTCGCTCTGTTCTTAGCACAGAATCTTCTCCCGGGAGTATAACGTCGTGCGTCAGGGAGTTCGTCGAAGATGCGGTCTGTCTCTTCTACCTTGCTGTCTGTGATCGCCTTAAGCAATCACTGATCAGTGTTGGAAGGTCTATAGCACTAGTGCTGAAAGGAAATAACGATAACTAGGAATGCATTCTGTTCGGTGATGGTGATTGATTTATTACGAACACAGCTGCTACGAAGGTATACCTAAGCTCTGCGCAAGGTGGGCCGAAGTCGGGCCGAAGTGTCCAGCAGCCGACGTCTCTACCGATACTCACGATCCGACAACTACTATGTTTCCTGTATTCCTTGAAAACTCAAAAATAAAACCTTGACTATATGAATGTCTCCCGCCTCTCGCGCTTTTCTTGAAAACCAACACGAGTAACAAGAGAGACGATGTGTGGAGTCCGACTCTCCAGCTTCAAAAATACTGAAATCTTTCCCTGTTGTTCTGGGATAATATCTTAAAACCGCGTCGGTCCGCTTTTGTAGGGTTCCAGGCTGTGTGCCTCCTTGAAACTCTGGGAGTGGTACCTTCTTTTTTCTAAATCCTTTCTTCTCTGTCTAAGGAGAGTATTCTAAGAAACTCCTAGCAGATGTGCTTTATGTGGCTGTTGCCTGGCGTTTCTGCCCTTTAAATCTTTTCTTGGAAAAATAGTGAAGAGATTACTGGCATAGATTTTCCCTTCTTCTCTAGGAAGCTATGAGAAACCACACCCAGAAATCCTCATGTTTGCGTCGGGTCTGGGGTTCCGGCCTTTCCTATTTTTATAAATCCGCCTTGCTTACTTTGACACGGTGTTCTCCCCTCTTCTCTGGAAAAGCTACTGAAATCTCTATGGGAATTGTGGATGCATCCGCTGGGCGTAGTATATCTGGTCTTTACTATCTTTCCTAAAAAGACAGCTCCGATATAATGGAGTTCTATCTGCTTCTTCCTGAAAACGTACTGAAAAGCACATGGGACCTTTATATAAGTGTCCTGGTCCCGGCGTACCTAGCTTTTCTTTGCTCTTCTAAAAAAAACGGTACACACATTCTTGGGATCCTCTTGTCCCTTTGTTTTTCTGAAAACTTAATGAAAACAATATGGGAGCTCTACATGAGCGCGTTGGGCCTAGCGTTCCGGCCTTCCTTATTTTTCTCTAAAAGACACCATACGTGTTTTCACATGTTATTCTCTCTTCTTCTTCCTGAAAACTTCATAAAACCATCTGGGACCTGCACATGACTGCGCTGGGCCTGGCTTTCCTTATCTTTCTCTAAAAGAATCCAGTGAATACACATCATGTTCTTCTCCGTTCTTCATAAAAGCTCATTAAAACACCATTTGCGAATTATATATGAGTGCACTGGACTTAACGTTGCGGCCTTCTTTATTCTCCTCTAAAAGAAGCAGTGCTATGTATTAATGTTCTTCTCCCGTTTTCGCTTATGTCGCTTTCGCTAGGATCGTTATATTCATTCCCGTCTGTGTGTGGTTCTGGTCGTCGTTCGAATCCGCCTCAAAATTGTCGCCTGACCCGTCATCAGTATTGTCGCCTGATCTGTTGTTGGTATCCATACTTGTCAACGAGCGAGCCGGCTCGCTCAGCTCGCTCGGCTTGGACGTTTTGACCAAGCCGAATGAGCTGAGCGCGCAGTGCGCGCTTGCAAGCCGAGCGAGCTTAGGGATAGGCGCTCGCTCAGTCAGCTTGCTTAGCTTGGTTGGATGGGGCGGTTGGAAACTTGGGGCTGAAGGACTTGGTGGAGGGGCAATCTCACGATGATTTTTAGGTGTAGTGCGTAAGTTCGAAACCTAGTTATAACCTAAAATACACTCTTTTTTGCTATATTTCTAGCAAATAAGCTACTAAATTTCCGGCTAACGGCCTGGCAACAATATTCTCCTTCTGCGACACTTCACTTACTACTTATCACCCACCACACTCACCTATACTCCATCAACGCGTCTCTATTTGCAGCTATTATCTACCTCGCCGTTGCTATAATGCCAGCAAAAAGAACACGCGTTAATGCTCTAGAAATCGCGACAACTTCGAAGCGCCCTAGAGTCGCAGCGCGTCATCGCGGGACTGCCAGCCAACCTGTGCTAGTCGATACTCGGCCATTCTCACCATCTCCACCTCCTCCACCGCTGTCGCCGCGTCAAGCTCTCGTCGCCGCGCCACAAGCACCAAATTTTGAAGCGACCCTCCGAGAGTCGCGCGCCGAAGAGACAATCATCCCACCACCTGAGGGCAGCGAGCATGCCACTGTTGCAGCTTCAGGAGCAGCTAGCGAGGCTGTCGACGAGGGTTTCGTATGGGTAGAGGACAAATACGACGGCTTTAATTGGAGTCGCTACCCAAAGCACTGCAAGCCGCCCACATCACTTTCGAACCGAGCAAGCTGGGTATACAGCCATAGCTATCGCATCGCCTTGCGCAGCAACGTCGCAAAAGTCACGTGGATCTGCCACTATTGCTATAAGCACAAGTTCACTACTGTTGGCCGTGGCATACATGACGTCTCGCAGTCTCCATCAGCGCCAGCACGTCATCTCGGAGAAGACAAGAAAGGTCATGGCTTGAAGCCTCCAAGTAAGCGCACTACCGTCGCTCCTCGGAAAGAAACTCTCCTCGAACGCGCCCTTCAGAAGGGCTGCTCTCAGGCTGTTGCCAACGAGCTTACCAACTTCAATATACAAGAGTTTAGGCTTGCGGCCGTCACCTGGCTCGTCGAAAACAACCTCCCACTCTCACAATTCGAATCATCGTCTTTTCGCAATATGATACAATTAGCTAGCGTAGAGGCAGAACGAGCCCTGTGGGCATCTCATAACAGCGTCTCACGATACGTTATACGCCTGTACAACTACCTGTTACCAAAGGTTGTCGCAAGCCTTTCAGAATCAATGAGCAAAGTCCATATAAGCTTTGACGGATGGACGACAAAAGGTGGCAAGCGCGGTTACTTAGGTATCGTCGCCCACTACGTTGATAGCTCTGGCGAGCTCAGGGACTTGCCTATTGCGCTCCCACAACTGACAGGTGCCCACACCGGCGAGGCCATGGCTGAGGTCGTGATGGCAATATTCAAGCAGTTCGAAATCACTGTGGGCAAGCTCGGTTACTTCGTCCTCGACAACGCACATAACAACAACACCACGATCAACACTCTCGCCTTGCAGATGGGCTTCAGCGCTACCGAGCGTCGCCTTCGCTGCGGTCCTCATACGCTTAATCTCATTGGCCAGATGCTACTCTGGGGTGAGGAGAAAGAGTCCTACGACAACGAGGAGACTGAGCGCGTGAACGAAGCTGAGAACATGGCTACTTGGCGAGGCGATGGACCATTAGGAGTGCTTCTCGCGGTTATCAACTACATCAAAACACCACAACAGTACGCTCTTTTTGAGAAGTATCAGAAGCTCGCTATTAGGGACCAGCCTGTCAACGCGCCAACAGAACAGCACAAAATCAAGGAGCCCGTCAAGCCAGTTGTTACTCGCTGGAACTCTTACGTTTCGTGTTTTGAGCGCGCTGTTGAGTTGCAATTAGCGGTTAATGGGTACGCCAACTACCATATTCAGAAGATTGAAACTGAAGACGCGTACGCCCGAAGTCGTAACAACAAGCTGCCTGCAGCGCCGGATTGGATGAGGTCTGATGGGATCAATGCCCATGACTGGCAGGTGATTGCTGAGTATATTGATGTGCTCAGGCCACTGAAACAAGCTACAAAACGGCTTGAAGGCCGCGGCAAAAGCGGTGCTTTTGGAGCAATCGCTGAGGTTATTCCAGTATTTGAATACTTACTTGGAGTCTATGAGGACCGCTTGCAAAGCTATGAAGACGTCATTCACGATGAGCATACAGAGTCACCCGAAGACCACCTTGCTATCAACCTCCGCGCTGCCCTAGTTAAAGCCCGCGAGTACTACAACAAGCTCGACCTCTCGCCAGCTTACTATGCTGCTACAATCCTTCATCCTCGCTACAAAAGCTACCTTGACGCAGCGTGGGCGGATAAGCCTGATTGGCTAGAGAGCAGCAACCGCAAGTTTCAACATTTGTGGGCGGAGTACAAAAGCTTACCGAAGCCGCGCTTACGCCCCAAAGTCAGGCACAATGATATAGACGACGCTATCAACAGCTTTATTGAGCCTGCAGGGCTTACGGAGAACGAGGAGGATGAATATGAGGCTTGGAAACGCAGCGAACCGATCGCTAGCGAGGGCGTCGACCCTATAAAATACTGGGTAGGACTCCGCGATCGCTACCCCAGCCTTAGCAAATTTGCTATCGACATGCTATCAATCCCAGGCTCAAGCTGTGAGTGTGAGCGCTTATTCAGCGAGCTGGGTGACCTCCTCGAGCCCCGTCGGCGCAGCATTTCTCCGCAACTTCTAGCAGCAATACAGTGCGATCGACGATGGATAAGAGCTGGATTTGGCAGTGGTGAGGTGCCTGTAAAGGAGGCTATCAGCGATGAGGAGATGGACGCGAAATACGGTGTACATAAGTGGGATATTAGCTGAGAAACTCAACACCAAGGTTTCTATATAACTTTCCTAATCGGGACTGAGCCCATCAAGCCGAGCGAGCTGACAGCCCTGTTTCAGCCAATCCGAGCGAGCCGAGCGAGCTGCTGGCCTCCGCTCAATTGGCTGAGCAAGCCAATTGGCTGAGCTCGCTCAGCTTGCTCATTGACATCTGTGTTGGTATCGTCGCCTAACCCGTCGTCGGTATCGTTGGTATCGAGCGTAAGCTTGTATGTAGTATTAGAGTTCTTTTTGCTGCTCTTCACGACTGAAAGAGTGGTGCGGGCGCGTTGGTTGTCAGTGATTATGATGGTCGACCTGCTGGTGTGCTTGCTACTAGCCAATACCTCACTGTAGGATATTGTTTTTTTGGCTGCCCGTGGAAGAGTTGTTCGTCCAACTTCGGCATTTGTGACTTTAAGTTGCGACGGGGTTTGTAGAGGAATGTACAACGTGGATTGGAGGCGTAGCTGGTGTAGCTGGCACAACTGGCGTAGCTAGCGTAACTGGCGTATAGGCGTAGACGCTCGTGTTCTCCTTGCAGCTGCTGGTATAGGTCTGATATGCAATCCCTGACGTGAGCGCTTAAGAGGGCGGGCATCCTCATCATCATCAATATGTATCGGCATGGTTGCCGATCCTATATGACTTCTATTGTGGTGGGCACCCTTTTTGTCGTCGATGTAAATCAGAGTGGCTGCTGATCCTAGCACTTGTACTTCGATAGCAGGAGGTTCGGTAGGTTCAGTGGCAGTTGTAGGAGGCTGAGCAATGACTGTGTCGATTTCTCTAAATGAACGTTGGACTGAAAGTCGTGGTGTGCGTGTAATAAATTGGTTGATTCAAGTCTGAGATGGGTCGTTGTTTGCTCTCGCCAACCAGGATTTGACCATAGTAGCTAGGTAGAGAGGGTATAAACAATATCATGTGTAGTGCAAGCGAGGCGAGGTTTGTGATGTAGGTAAGGTAGTGAGGCTGGGAATTAAGAGAGGAGAATGAAGGTGACGAAAAGGTGCGGTTTTATTAGGTAGGAGAGGTCTAGTGTGAGCTGAGCCAAGACATGCTAAGAGTAGGCGCGAAGGACAAGCATGTGCAGGCGCAGGTGTGGTATACGCTGAGTGAAGACATCCTATAAGGTAGGCACGAGAGACTAGAAGCATGTGTAGATACCGGTATGAAGGTTGCGGCTTAGTATCGTGTGTTGTCGTACCACCTGTCGGCCTTGAGTACGGTTAGGGCTGTGTTTGTTACTCATTGGCTTCGTCTAGAACAAAGAGTACGCCGTTTTCCCGAAATCCGAGATACCGCGGAGCCATATTCAATGTTTTATATGCCGGTACCATATACATTTCGTGTTCTCCGCGCCAATGCGTTCCCGCTCTTCTCGCCGGTCTGACCGTGCCCAAGCATGCTAATACGCCGGTCGCCCTTAGTACTTTTCCAATCAGGACCAACCTCGTTTGGCGACTTCAAGTTAGCGATGAGTCCTTCGCGTGTCATCATCTTCTTCAAGGTTTGATGTGGTCGAAACGGTACGTGTAAAGACGACAGATGATGACGTGCAGCCCGACACAAACCCAGCGGAGCCTGTAGCCCTGAAAAGCTACAATACAGGTAGCTGCGTCAGTACTCGAGCGGTTTACAACACCTCATGATACCGCGGAGATGGATGTGTATGGAGTGGTGCCGCGTGGCTGGTAATACGAGAAACAGCCACGGGTGTCATGACAGCTGCGCCACGATGGTTGACACAGCACTAAACCCAAATAGGTAGAGTTTGCGAGAAAATTACCGACTACCTACCCATGAGGATCCGGTGATGCCGCTCGGCGCACAAGGACTGCCGATTCGGACTGCCAATATGCCCATCGTCCGAACCCAAGATGGAAAGTCCTCGCTGGCTGCATCGTCTTTACACGTTTCCCTATGCCAGTCGAGACGTGCTTTCTGTATGCTTGGTGGTGCGATCGCGTCTGCCTTCCCTGTCCTGACTCCGCTCCGTGCCGAGCGCGCTCCCCTAACCGTAACCACGACCCCAACATCAATCAATCGAGCTTATCCCTGCGTTACTCGGCCACAGGAGAGTTACTCTTCCGGCCCATCTGGAAGCTTATCGAAGGTTGGCCAGCTGGGGCTTGTCGTCGCGAATTAATGTCAACGTAGGCCTGATGGTAGTCGTAGGCTTTAGAGGCGGAGTCTTCCAGAAGTCCATCAGGAGAAACCACTTTTTGCTCGCAACTTGTTTATAGCCAGAGATCGGTGCTGGGAGCCAGGCATTTGTTGATCTTGGTGCCTGAGTGTTGAGAACAGCCTTAGTCTTCTTTTCGCCATCCCTTGTGTTGCCTTTATATCACCATGGTCTACACAGGTAAGCCCAGCCGGGGCTGCGGCATGTGCAAAAGCCGCCGAATCAAGGTAAGTTCTGGCTTCTCGCGACAATTGCTACTTCCTCTCGACTAGTGGTGCTGGATTACCCGCACGTACGCCAATACGGTTACTTTGGGAGTAGTAGTTTGGGCCCCCCGCTAATTATGCCAGTGCGACGAGAAACGGCCAACATGTGGAAACTGCAAGAAATCGTCGCGATCCTGTCCAGGCTATCCAGACGATTTTGATCTGGTTTTTCGGGATGAGAACAAGGCGATGCTCAAGAAGGTGAGGAAGTGTTCTGGGACGACTTCGCCAGGTAGCAGTGCTGGAGCGTCAAGCTCGCATCCTTCTCCACATCCGTATGTGTTATCCTGGAACCCTCGTTCCGTCCCGCTCCCGCTGCTAGCTATCTATCTGCGCCAAGGAGCTCCATCGCTTACCTTTGCCACTATCTATGCATGAACCTGTGGCTGGTATGCGATCGCTTGTGGCTTTGCGTGAAATGAGGACATCAGCTGATCATGTCAGATCTCCATCTTCAACCTTTGAGGTGGTTTCAGAAGAAAAAGGCTCTGTAGGAGAGCTTGCCTTTCAGACCGCAACATCGTCATCACATGCAAGCCAGTCACAACAGGTACTGCCTTTGAACAACTACAGGGCGCAACAAGTGCCTTTTGACCATCCTTTCGACTTTGAAACTTTCGTCTGGAATCTCCAAACAGCCCAAGTGCCGCCCACGATATCACTCGCTCCGGAATGTGAGGCAGTGCCTTTCTTTTTCAAAAACTTTACCGCCCTTCCGCAACAGGCCGAAAGTACGAGAGGATTTCTCGAATACCTAGTGCCACTTTACAACCGTGCCCGTCCAAATTCAGTTCTACATCTTGCCACCACCGCTGTTGCATTGGCAGCGTGCGGACAATATCCCGGAAGACATGAGCTCCTTCGTGAAGCTGTCTCTACGTATGGCAAAGCCATCAAGAAATTAAACGAGGACTTGAAACACCCCGCAAAAGCGAAAAGCAACGAGACCGTACTTGCTATCCTCATGTTCTCATTATACGAAGTAAGTCTATCGCTGTGTCTGACCGCGTTTCCAAATTGTTTTCTTTCCTCTAGAACCTATTACCGGTCTTGGTGCTAACCACTTCAGACAATTATGAGCACCGATGACACAATCGCAGCCTGGGGTAACCATGTTGATGGTGCTGTTGCACTAACCAAACTAAGAGGAATGGAGCAATTCAAGGATCCAATGTCTCATGCTATATTCCGTGCAGTACGAACCATGATGGTAAGCACTATCCTTTCATTCAAGTGTCCAACATCTAACTCGAAACAGATCACAAGCTGTGTTCAACGTTCAAAACCGGTCGACTCCTTTCCCAGCAAAGCTGGCTGGATAGGCCAGGGTGATATCCACGACGAAAATGCAGCAAATCGACTAACCCTAATTTGCATTGACCTGCCCAGCCTACGTGCTCGCGCAAATACCCTTACCAACATGCCTTACGACCCAGCCTACGAATCAGAAGCCAAACAAATCCTCGACTTTGCGCAACTGGTGGACAGCAACCTTGAAGAATGGTACCGTACATTACCGCCGGAATGGAGGCCTCGCATAATCGGCATCGTTAGCGAGTTGATTCCATCCGAGGAACTTTCATTGGCAGCAAAATGGCCAGGGGAGCAACACGTGTATCATGATGTGCCATTGGCGAGCATCATGAATGACTACCGCGTATGTCGAATATTCTGTACAAGGGTCATCATGGCATGTGTGGAGTGGCTTAACTCGGGCCCTAACTATCGAGATGGAGATAGAGCGCGGAATAAGAGCGTCTATGTGATCCAGAAGATGGTAGACGAGATCTGCGCATGTGTGCCTTTTCATTTGAGCTATGAGCTGCAGACGGCCGCCAAGGAGATGGGACAGGAGAAGAATGGTAAGTATCAGTCATTTCTATTCTTTACGTCGTTCAAGAGCTAAATCTTGCGCAGCCGCTGAGGCCTTTGGGGGGTACTCGTTAGTCTGGCCACTATACGTCGCAGCCAATGCAGATATGATACCGCAAGAGCAACGTGACTGGCTCTTTGGCCGACTCTCAGTCATTGGCACAAAGTTTGGATTGAGTAGTGCACAGGTTCTAGTACTGGCAAGGAGACACGTGCTCACATGTGGGCCAATGTTCCCATAACGCAAGGCTACTATTGAGGGCTGGTGTTGTATGAATATGGTTGAAACGGGAGTATCATGAATGTATTTCTTTCGTTTAAGCAATAAACACAACAGGCCCTGTTGAAACGGATCTATTCCATGGCGGACTGAAGTTGAAAGAGCGAAGGTGCCGTTGCATTGAGTCATCCGCATTGAGCAAGTGGTTGCATGACCACGTATTGGAACGGGTGGGTATAGTGGAGACACGACGTTCCTTGGCACCGATGTTTCTGGCCGGGGCCTGTGAAGATGGCGACATGTTGCTGCGCTTCACATACATGACAGAGTTGATGCCTTCGTATATCAAAACAATGCATCAGGCAATGTCGACCCGCAGCGGCCCGTTTCCGCGCCAAGCTTTCGGGGTTTCATTACACGAGCCGCGCAATCGAGGGAGGCGCATCTAGACGTCCCGGCGAACTGCATATCTCCTTATCCCTTTGCCAAATTGCGGCTGTGCAAGAAGGAAGTCGTCACCATCTTCCATACATATTCTCCAGACGTCACTTGACTATACATTGGTATCGCGCTTGCTCAGATTACCCCGCCACACTCCTCAGTCGTCAGCCCACCATCAGCCTCATCACGTCACCACCACCATGGGCGCATTAAACCTCATTCCGCTCATCATCCTCTTCGCAGTCGTTGGAGGTATTGGATGGGTAGGCTACCAGGTAGGATGACCCTGCCCACATTTGCGCAATAACCGCTGATCATTGCCCGTCGCAGATCTACCTCTACTCGAACGAACTCGCCGAGCGCGGCGTGAAGAAGATGGAAAAGAAGAATGTCGTCTTCACTAAAGATGGCGCAAAGGTCGGAGTGAAGGAAGTGAGCACAGAGTCTTATACAGACAAAACACAAAGAGCATTTGTGAAGACGTGGAACGCCGCTCAAGAGGGGTATGCGTTCGCGACAAGGGCATGGCAAATTATATGCTAATAGATTGATCCAGTTCTCCCGTATCGCGCCCCTCGTCAACTCGAAAACCTACCAGATGATCGAAACACACGAGATGGAATAACCTTGACCTTCAGGTATACCTTCTCGTTTGGACGTTGCCTGGTAGCCTTGTTTCGGACCGAACGAACTGCGACTGCTTTCGACTTTTGCGAACAAGTCGGCGATGAGTGTCTGAAGTGTCGGAGCGTCATGTGCTATTACACGATATAGGCAATATATGCAGGCCTAGGCGCATGCGGGGCTGGTCAAGTCACACTTTCACTTATGAGAATCAAGAGATGGTGTTCACATGACCCACAAGAACCTCGTGTGACACTTACTTGCACTCAACAAACAATTTCGAGACGTTCCTATCGGCGAGAGCTCGTCCTGGTATGTGGTTTTCTATAGCGTCTTGGGTGACGTTTCTTTTTATAGATGCCGGTGCGGAATTTTACGTTCATGTGCTGAAGACAGTTCCATTGAAATGTGGCTATCCATGTAATCAGAAACTTACGTATGATCTCAATACCATGTGCTTGGGTTATGCCCACGTTAGTCACCCTCTCTTGTTCAAGTATAGTCTACTGTAAGACCAACCTCACGCAAGTGCTGTTACATCGTGGGTGTATATGGCCAGGGTGTGTTCAGAGCGTTGCAATTAGACTAGGGTAGTCTGCTTCCAGAACACCTAGGACAGGCATTTCCCACCGGTCAACGAGCAGGTCCTCACTAGTCGCTTTAGGCTCCCGACATTGTGTTTCCGGCTACAAGCAAGCTTCGGATCATCAAGCGGGAACTGTATTGACGTCAGCTGCTACGTCAGCAGTTACCTAAGCGTCCACTTACTCGGAGCGCAAAAGGAGGATGTCCTCTATTTCATCGGAGGGTCGCCTCAACATGTCCGACGCCAATATACTTCCTCAACAAAGAATGTCAGGTGTGTGGATCTGACATATGTCACAACGAATCATAACATAGTAAATTAGGGCTAGGGCTGCTGAGTCCTCCAGCATAAACACGTTGCTTGTTTTGACATCTGCTTCTGCATTCATGTTATGCACTAAATGAACGCAACGTCAAAACTCCGCAGACAGGACACAAAGAGCGCGGATGGTCGAACGAATCTCCGCCGAGACAACGACGCTTGGAAGGCGAAGCAAGACCATATATGCCGATCACAGCACTATGTACGTTAGTCTACCCCAGAAATCCCAAGCGGTGCCTAGAAACCACCATCCGACGGGCGTTATCGAATCATATTGCTGTTGCCCTGTTGAAGCTCAATCGCAAGGCGAACAATGGTGCAGCTTGGCTGGCGGCGAAAGCAGTGATGGTGTGTAGGGGGTGAAAGACGTATAAACCGTCAAATGTCCCCCGACCAATATGGTCTACAATCAGAACACGCCATCATGTCTTCACTACATGAACAATTAACCAGGTCTGAGCTGTTCAGCTTAAGGGGTTTCGCCCTTGCATCTGGACTGACTCTTGCTGCTGTAAGTCTATTCTTTGACTGGATGTGAATTCTCTCACAACCCGCTCTGGGTGTTGAAATATATTCTGTCCATCATGAAATTGTATTGAAAACGGCTGATAGGATTTAGGCCATCACATATTCTACTTACATTGTAATATACAACCTCTTCTTCCATCCCCTCAGGCACATCCCCGGCCCACTGTTTGCACGAGCCTGTCCCATTCCTTACGCCCTCGTCATACGAAAAGGCACCATCATTCCGTGGCTAAAGGCACTACACGACAAGTATGGAGAGGTTGTACGAATGAGTCCAGGCCAAGTTTCATTCATCTCGGGCGAGACTGCATGGCAAGATGTTCAGGGCTTCCGCACGGGAAAGTCTAAAGACAGTAGCCTTTTCATGAGGGATACTAATTGGGCGTAAGTCATTTTTGTATATGATATGGACGTTGCTAATAGAGTCAGTCCCGCCTCGCTCAATGGAACGACATCAATTTTCGCATCTAACGGCGAATTGCACGCGCGCCTGCGACGCAATGTTGCCAGTGGTTTTAGTGTATCGGCTCTCCGCTTACAAGAATCTCTCATTCTTGAGTATGCTGACCTTCTCGTGTCGCGACTACGCGAGGTCAGCACTGAGGGGGCCGTCGATATGGTGGACTGGTACAGTAAGCATACTCTGATAATTCAGCACAAAACCAACTACATGTACTAACCAAGACACGATAGGCTTTACCGCCTTCGACATCATCGGTGACCTCATCTTCAGTGAACCTTTCGGCTGCCTCCGCGATGGCAAAGGTCACGAGTGGGTCCCATTCGTCTACAACGGCGTCAGCAATCTTCCCAAACTGTATACCGAGAAGGTGTGGGCGATATTCAAGTGGTACGACACGCTCCGTAGCATTTTCGAAGACCAGGAAAAGCCGCTTAGAACGCGTCTTGCCTTGTTAGCCAAGTCCCAAAAGAAGGTCAATGAATGCATCGCAAAGGTTGAAAAGGGTACCGACAAGAGAGTAGAAGCGAGTTTTTTCGCAGGCGTCATTAGGAAGGAAGGCACGGAAAGAGGTCTAACACGAAACGAACTCGACACCGTCGCCATGGGCTTCCTCGGCGCAGGCAGCGAAACAACAGCCACCATCCTCTCCGGCGCCACCTACATGCTCCTCATCAACCCAGACAAGTACGAGAAAATCGTGCACGAGATCCGTACGGCGTTCTCGTCGACGGAGGAAATAACTATGGATGCGGTAAACAAACTCGAGTACCTCATTGCCGTTTTCCAAGAGAGCTTTCGCATGTATCCCCCTGTTTCCACTGGCATCCCTCGTGTCGCACCCCCGAGCGGCGCAGAGGTCTCAGGCTACTATGTTCCCGGCGGTACAAATGTGCATATCCCACAGCATGCGGCCAACCTATCGACGCGCAATTTCAAGGATCCAGAGAAATTCGTGCCGGAGCGCTGGCTGGGCGACCCCAAGTACAAGGATGACAAGTTATCGGTTATGCAGCCGTTTGGTATGGGACCGACGGTTTGTCTGGGTAAAAAGTAAGTTTGGATTGCCTTTTGATACACGTGGTTGCTGTTGCTAACGACAAGTGTTCCAGTCTGGCGTATGTCGAAATGCGTGTTATTCTTGCAAAGTGCCTCTTTGCTTTCGACATGGAGCTCGACGAGAGTGTAAAGTCTGAGCATTGGATCAACAAGCAGCGTCAGTTCTTCCTGTGGGAGAAGCCAGACTTAAATGTCAGATTGACGCCTGTGAAACGCTAGGTTGGGGTGTTAGATTGGATATATGGTGTATGGTAGACAGAAGTGGGAGCCTAGAGATTCCGTTTGGGCATCTTTAGAGGCTGGAGAATTTGCCAAGGTTATTTTCTTTGTTGTTTTAGTCCTTTTGTGATGTTAAAATTGGGCTTATTCTGGCAATGTTAAGTATCTTGACCAATATACTAATTCACTCTGCTTCGACATGCTCACTGCGTGGTCTCACCTGTTACGCAACACTTCGTGGGTAAGCACTCGCCTAATGACGTGCCTTGGAGTGGAAAAGAGGCAATCAACATTGTCTCTGTTTAACATATGCATATCATCTGCTATGAAATCTAATCGTGCTTAGAATTCCACCTCTATTAAAGCAGGAAACTAGATCAATAACGCCACAGCAATGCAAAGATATCCCTAGATACATCCCTCATCATCTTGATTATATACAACGAATATTTGACTGCATATCTCTCTCTTACACCCCTTATCACAGACATCCTAAATAGCATACAACCACACAGCCACAGCAAATACAAGCGCATACGCACTAGAACCGACCCTCGCGTCTGCAGAAGCACCAGACCCCTTTGGCACATTATTAGTAGCCGCACCACCCAAGTACCACGACCCAATATCCGTTAGTTTCCCATCCTGCGTCAACATGGCCGCATTCTTACCCACATTACTAACATCTGAGCGAAACGCACCAAAGTACGAGTAATGCGTAACGTTCCTACATCCACGCTGTTAGCCCCAGGCTTCCACATCCAGCCGTTCAGTGAGAAGAGAGAAAGGAAAGAAAACTTACGGCCAACTATCAAAACTCTGCACACTACGATTAAAAAAACTCACAGTCTCCTCCATGCCCTGATTCGGGTACCCATACTCGGTAACCCAAACAGTCATATTGGGCCATTTGGTCGTCACCTGGCCCACATGACTCATCATGCCCTCAAAGTTGCCATACCAATGGACGGGGATGAAATCTGGGTTACAACCTCCACCACACTCCTTGAAGAAATTCTCTAGCCATTGCCACCCGGACTCCGCGCCTGTGACGGCGGGAGCCCCCAATTTAACGCCGAGTTCTTTCAAGGGCTCGATTTCGGCTTTCCAGCGTGCGGCCGCGACGGCGACACCGAGGTTGGAGCCGCCGGTGCTGTGGCCGCCGTCGGGCTCGTTAAAGCCTAGGACGTGGGTTATATTTATTCCGGAGTTGATTAGTTTTCTGACGGTGTCCAGGAAGGGGGTTCCTTTGTCGGAGGCGCTGGCGCCCCAGAGCATGGGGACGAAGTGCATGGATGGGTCGTTTGCGTAGGCTGGGGAGGGGTCTTTTTCGTAGTTGTAGTACCAGGTTGGGGGCGAGGGGCCAGATGTCCAGATTTTGTCGTCGGAGGGGTTTTTTGACGACGGGACGTGGCAGAGGCCGCGTTTGGAGGATGTGGTGGCTGTTGCTTGCGCGGTTGTGGTAGTGGTGGCGGTTAGGAGAGCCGTTGTGGCGGAGAGGAGGAGTGTGTTGCGCATGGTTGGCTATTGTGGGAGGTTTGTAGATGGCCGGAAGTTTGGAGAAAGTTTGATTTTCCGTTGTGGTTTTCGGTCTTGAGTTCTGATATGAGGGAAGCTTGCGTACTCGGTACCAGCGATGGCGATGGCGATATGGGTATGATTAACCAACGACGCGATTTAGATATAATTTCGAATAGAGAAACCCCCAATACCGGAAAAAGGGTCGTCTCAAAAACACAAAAACCTCAATTCCCGAATACCCTCGTAACCTGTGGTGGTAGCAGTACTTAGCGGTAGCCGTAGTAGTAAATCCAACCCAACCAAAAAAAGAATCCCCGGCAGCAACCCACCTCTATTTAAAAGTGTGCCACACAAGCGAAAAGGCTGAGAAGGAAAAAAAAAAGCTAAATCAGACCCTCTCATATCTCCCCCTTCGTTTAGCAGCCGCCCTGAACGTGGGCAAAAAGACGCTACATCTGCACCATGGGCAATTCGGCACTATCGAAAAGTGCAAGATAACGCGGCTCTTGCTTTGCCGTTTCTACCGCTATCGCGCGGGCGGGCGCAGCGAGGGAATGCAGCCTACTAGGCACATGTGTGCAGCCTCGTCGTGTTGGCATTAAGATGTTATCATCTTCCAATAGTCACACCCAAGAAAAGAGCTGCCCATCACCATCCCCATCCCCATCTTGCCGTCGTGTTGGCTCACCACATCCCCAAGTCGTTTCCCTGACGCAGGTACAAGCCCCAAGTCCCAACCCAACCCAACCCAACCCACCCGGGTCCAGCCAGCCGACCGACCAACCGACCGGTCCGCGCCACCACCATAAGCCCATCGTCAGCCTCACCGCGGCCGGTACCAGGGCCCAGGGGTTGACCCGCCAAACCGCAAAAAGGGTAATCAAAGCTGCGGGAGATCGACTCTGGCCCCTCCGCTCGACATCTCAAGAAGGGCAATTGTTCGACGTGGACGGAGCGGCGGGGTCATGGCGCCGATGCGGATGAGATGAAGTGCAGATTACTTACTTAAAGTGGGAAACGGGAAAGTCTGGCGCTGATACGGATTTGTAGAATTGCGGTATCGACCTCGGGGGAGGGAGATAGCGACAACGACAACGCACATGCGACGCGTGGGGGAGCTGAACCTGCGAGGCCAAGTTACCGACATCTGGACTCGTAAACGGGCGAAGCAAGAAGCGAGTGCGAGCGACAAAACTCGGACAAGCCGGAAGGGGTAAGTAGCTGTCGAGTCAGCCATCACGGTCTCGCTCACTCAACGAAAAAAATAAACATGGCGCGCCCAGCTTTTGCTGAGAGGTTAAACGTATGACATCAGCTTCTTAAACAAACTTCATCGGCCCAATTAGAGAATAAGCAAGCATAGTCATCAATCACAATCACACATGACCAGATACTGTACAAAAGCTTCAAATTAAAATATATTGGGTATTTGGTATCGCATCTGATTTATCTACTTTCCCATCCCTCATTCCCCGTCCGCAGTCACCGACTACGCCTGTAAAAGGATGCAAGAATATACAAATGTGGGGTTTTTTGAGCGGATGTGGGCAACAAAGCCCCAGGCTTTTGACCCTTTCCTAACTCAGCATGAGATTACAAGAGCTTGTATCAGATCTTCTTTAATGGAATGTGACACAAAGAAAGATTCGTAAATCGGGCGGCGCGACACACCGCATGCAAGATGAGAGAGACAGAGAGAGAGATGGATGATAGGACTTTCTGGTGGATTTTGACCGCTCTGTTTGTCAGTAACCATTACCATTGTGCAATGCAGGGAGCAAGGACAAATCAAAAGAAAAGGAGATATTGGTTGCCGAAGAGGCCAAATCGCTCATGTTTTCGCTCAGATTACGAGAGAGTCAGTTGCACTCTAGTATCTGTTTCCGCCCTGTGGCGCAGGTTGCCATGGAGCGTTGGAGACGTATCCCGGTGGTTGGTGGTAACCGACTTCTACATCGGCTGGGTATGGGCCTGGACTGCTGTCACGGCTTCTGCTTCGCTCGTGCGGGTTCGAGCGACCAAAGGTGGACGCATCGGCTAATAAGTGGCCCTGATCATCGCCAAAGTTGCGACCACCAGGACCGTTGTATGCCGTATTTTGTTCGGCAAGAGGAACTCGATCGTAGCCGGCTGTGCGAGGGCCAAACGGTGAAGGCAAGGAGGCACTCTTGTACTCTTGAGGGTCCATGAGGAGGGAGTTGCGTGCGTCGAGAGGAGTGAGGTTGTCGAGGTCACGGGCTTTTTCTGGAAAGGTTGTTAGCTATGTTTCATAGTCGTATAGAATAGTCGACTTACCAGCCTCCTTTCTCTTCTTGCGGTGAGGGTTCTCCTTGCAGCAGATGATGATTGCGTTGACAGCAATGAGTATACCCAAGATACCGGTCAGCGAAGCTTGCACAACGACAAGGACAAGACCAGTGACGGTCTTGGTTGTCTGACTCATGCCTAGCTCTTCGACAAAAACCAAGATACAGACAACCGAGAGCACGCGAATGACCGAGATGGTGATGTTAATCCAGGTGCTAGACTTGAGAGAGTATGGACGAGCCCACAAAAGCATGATGAGCATGAGGGATTCGACAATGAGTTGACCGGCGGCCTGGGCAAGACCGTGGCCGTTAGCTCCTGCAATGACGCAACCGCGAGCAAAGGTGAAGATGATGGTCGGTACAAAGATCCACCAGTAGCTCTTCTTGTAGTTTTCGTAGAAGATGCTGTACTTGCGCCAGACTTCCTTGTCGTCGTAGAGGATATCAGGCTTTCCCTCCATCTTCTTGAACTTGTTCGCAATGCTCCAGATCTTCCAGGTGAAGAAGGCAATGACTCCAGTAAAGGCAGCCAAAGTAACACCAGCGAGGGCTTTGACAGCCCATGAGTCTCCGTTCTTGAACTGGTAGACACAGTAGAGAACCCAGATGCCGTAAAGTAGGAGAATCAAGTTGGTAATGGTCTTTGCCAGAGTCCACCAGTAACGCTTACGGAAACTGGTCAAGCGCTTCGGGAAGCTACCAAACAGTGCCCAGGTTTCAAGGATGACCTTGAACAAAAGAATTCCGACGGTGACGGCAGCGATGATGATGGCGAAAACGAGCAGAACTGTCATGAAAGCGTTGCGGTCAGGAATTGAGTACTCCTGGATGTATCCCTGCATGTCTTTCGCGTAGACCATTATTTTGTTATCACCAGAATTATCGGTGGTACCATTGCCGTCGAGGTCGGTCTTGAGTTCGTCGCGGATCCATAGCATAGAGTCGAGACTGCGCTTAGTGGTGGTGGTCATGTTCTGGTTGACGTGGACAATGGTAGCATTCTTGAGGAACTGAACACTGCTTTGAGTGAGGTTGCCACCAGTGGCTGCGCGGAAGCTGTCGATGGATGTCTGCATACCCTCCAAATAGATGAGGCCATGACTGAAAGCGAAGTTCTGGGAAAAACTCCGGTAAACCATGGGAACATCGGCGCTCATCATGCCGTTCAGGGCCATTGACTGGAACCAACAGATGACGTCGGCAAAGGTGGGGCTCGACTGGGCCGCACCCGCGTGTCCTGCAGATGCGAACGAAGCCATACCCGTGACTATCAAAGCACCAGCTGCAATTCCAGCAGCGACATAGTGTACACCGCTGGTGGAGAGCGACTGTCCGTTGCTGACCTGTGACGTAATACAAGCAAGATCGGCACCTCCATCTATGGCCGTCAGCTGCATCTTGGCCTGACTGTCGATGTCGGGTATGCTGAAGGCAATCGAGGGGATTTGCGACATGATGCTATCGGGAATAGTCTGCTCGCCCTGTGCACCAAAAGTACCAGAAGGAACTGCGATTATTTAGCTTGGGGGACATATGCGCCGAGCTATACAAGACATACCTGGACATAGCTGGTCGACCTTGTTTTCTCCTTCGCAAGGGTTGAAGGTCTTTGTGTAAATCTCCCTGCCGTACGCGTTTACAGTGAGCGTGGCCATGACCTTTTGCTCCTTCTCGTTTGTGCCGGAGACATCAAACGTGACTTTCTTGATCGAACGGTCGAACTTGATGTTGAGCCTGTTTACTGTGATATCCGAGGGGCCGCTCAGGCAAGAGCTGAAGCCGTTGGTCTGGAGAACATCGCCGGCCAGAACGGCCAGGGGGCCCGAGGCCAATAATATAAAGGGAGCGAGCATGGCTGAATATGTCGTGTGAGGACGCATGGTCGCGGTGGTTTTTTCGCCCGTAGGCGTGTGTCGCGGGGTGGCGATTCGATAGGTAGCGAATGACGTGTGTGATTCTTGTAGGAAAAAAAGTGTCGCTTCCTCGAGGGGGCTGGGTCGTGGGTTTATTCAATAGTGAGACGATTAAACGGTTTATACGGCCGCAGGTTCAACCTTTCTCGTGCCTAGTCGAAGATGGGAAACAAAGGCGAATGCCGGAAAAAGAGCAGCAAACGAGCGAGGTATGGGGGTTTCTAGGGTTAGTGGGTAGGAAGAGGGTTCGAGTCGGACAGAGGGGAAAGAAGAAAGGTGAAACAGTCTTTGAACGAGCGAAGTGATAGAGTCGAGAGGGTCAGAGGGAGACGACGCCCCGAGCCGGTATTCTGCCTTCTTTTCTGAAACCGTGCGGCGACAGGCCAAGGGGGCTCACTCCAATGAGGAAGGGACGCGCGGCGCTAGTCTGGGTTAATTCCGCAATGGCGCAGTCGCTGAACCGACGCTATCGAAGGATGCGATGGTTGGGCCGCGTTCCAGAACACACGACGCGATGGCAGCTGGTGATTATCAGATTGACGACCTAGGGAAAAAAGCTTCAAAGGGGGGGGGGGGGAGATTTACATGTCAGCGTGCGCGCGCTCGGTGGGTTGTATATTTCTTTCTTTTTTGTACTTCAAAGCCCCTGCGCGCCGTTGTTGTCTGCGCCCCCTGCCACAAAGTCGCTGCGACTCTATAGCTGAAGAATGCGACGTGGATGTGCAAGGCGAGCCGCCGCCTATCATCCCACCCCGGTCCCGCTCGAGACCAGTCGGCCCTGAGCACGAGCGACTCATCGCCATCGCCAAGTGCACACGCTCGTATCAGGGAAGCCGCCTGAAAGAAGGCTGCTTGTTCACTCCAAGCTCTTCTCCGTGCACAAAGGCATTTGATTGCTGGCGCCAGCCTTGATGCACAACAAGCTCTTTGACCATCAGCATCAACCGCTTTGTCAAGCTCAACTCCGCTCCCTCGGCGGCGGGCGACGGGCGGCTGCGTGGCTGTGCTGCCCCCGTTATGGTAAAAATAGATTCGGATGCTTGGCCGCCAGAGGAGGACAATCGACTGGTGAAGCTGCCCAAAGACGAGCAGATCAAGTCCCATACATGACGTGCGACGACCACCTGGTAGGGCCGAAATAGACATGTTACCGTTCCACTGCCCGACAGGCATATACGTCGTCGTTGCCGGCGTGACAATGACATGCAAGGGCGAAACGTTGGCAGCAACCTTCACATCACCCTCCAAGCCTCACATCACCACCAACAGATTCACTTTGCGCCATCACCACCGTATTCGTTTGCCCTTCCTGCCTTGCCCGCGGCCTTGGAAACCTGGATTGTCATGTCTCTCTCCCTTGCCCCACCAACCTTGTATCGCAAGCGTCGCCTGAGCTGTCCGACCTACCTTCACCAGCCACCACCAGCCCTGCACTCGTGCACGAGTGCACCACCTCATTCCCGATGATATTCACACTCTTCGCCTCATCCGTTTTGTGTCGATGCACGCATGCACAGGTGAACATGTTCGAGCCGCACTTGCTGAGGTAATTTTAGAGTAATTTCCTACACGGAGACAATCGCCCCTTCCATGCATGCGCCGAACCACAATCCCATGAGAGCTTGTCGCCCGGCCAACACCAAATGTAACCACCGCAATATACCACGCAGTCCAAGTAGGTTAAAATTCATGTTGATCGCATTGTCTAGAAGTCTACAGAAATAGAGAATATGTACATGTCCAACCCGGGACCCCTTCTCTCGTCCCACCACCTAGAAATATATACATGTGGATAGAACGAGTAATGATGACCTCCTGTAAGCTTACCAATGTCTAAACTCCCTTCTTCAAACCGCCACCGTCAAGTATATACATGGAGAAAGAAAAGCGGAAGAAACGAGTGAGTCCCTACTGGCCTGACCCCCTTCAGGACAACAAGTCCCACCAGCTCCTCTTGCCATCTCCGTCCGTCTCTTCGTCGTCATCGCATTCGAGTTCCACCTCCTACTCGCTACCCGAGCTCCTCTCCTCAACGTTCTTATCTTGCAGCGCCCAGCTCATGTCCAGAGCCGCTACGCTAGTCTGCTCGGGTGCCGCTGACGTCGAAGTCATGGTGAGCATGCCAGAAGACACGGGAGTGGCCGACTGAACGGTATGCGTGCTCGACGAGTTTGAATCAAAGTCTGTAAGCGCACCAGGCGAGCCGACACCCAGCTGCGCCGCCGTGTAAGCAAGATACCACGTGCGACTGGCCCCACCATCAAGCACCTCATTGAAGCCTGGGTTAGCGAAGAAGTTGTAGGCTGATTGCGCGTCAATGAGGGCTTGGTTCGCCTTGAGGATGCCCCTCCAGCCTCCTGTCACCTGCTCGGCCCGCCCGTTACTAAAGTAGACGTCCCACTCTTCCTGGACGAACTGCTTGCGGCGCGTGTATGCAGACGAGGGGTTGAGCGGGATCATGTGGATGCCCTCGATGTACTCGGGGTTGCTACCAAAGTAGGTTGTGTGGTCAATCTTATTCTCAAACAGGATACCAGTAGCCTTGTTGTGGATGAAGCCTGCCGGCTGGTTCTTGTTGTCGCTCTCCATAAGGAAGTAGTTGTGGATACTGCGCGCTTGCACGGCTAGCTGAATGTTACCGCGAGCCTCCATGTTGGCGTCCCCGATGGTGCGGCCCCACATCTTCATACCAAAGGTTGCAAAGGTGTCTTCAGACGTCGATTCCTGGTCCTTGCCATCGCCAGACTCGAATAGGCCCTTAGCCCATGAGTGGCCGTGGTACCAGTCAAACGATCGTTGGAAGGGGAAGTAGTCGTCGGTTACGGGGTTCGCAAAGTCGCGTACCAGAGCGTTGACCCACGCCTTGTTGATACCTTGGTTGAGCCAGGTAGGATCGAGGTGTCCAATGATGGCGGCAGCATACACAAAGTATCCGTAATGGAAGTGATGGTCGTTGTATAGCGTGTTACCAAAGTCGAGGCCGGTATCAATGGGCGTCTTGTAACTGGCGCCTGACACGATACCCTTCCACACTTGATCGTAGACCAAAGGCTCGGGCTGAGTGTTGTTGACGAAGACGTTGAAGGCGTCCTTGAGTCTATCAAGTCCGGCCGCCGCGTACTGGCTGTTCTTCGTGATGGTGTTCAACGTGTAGATGATGGTAGCAAACTTTGCCAACCCCTTACCAGAGTAGTACATGCTGTTGAGCGAAGTCTGGGGGATCATGTTCTGGCTGAGTTCAGAGATACCGACTTGGTTGATCAGGTTCATAGCATTGGCGTTCAGGTTGATGTTCTCGTAGCCACCAGGGGCGTTGTTGGGGTTCTTGATCCAAGGCCCAAATCCAATCGTGTCAGGGAGGTCGGACTCAACCATGGTCATGTGGTCGGCGACGATAGCTCGTGCAACACCCTTTGTCGTAGTGACAAGCGAGATCTCAGTCAAGGCTGCTTTTGTCTGGGAATCGAACGATTCCACGTGATGCGGTAGCGCGTACATGAGCAGGGGTCGGTCTGTGACGCCACCCTTGGTCCAGCTGAGAGTGTAACTTCCAATTGACCCACTGGCAGATCCAGAGATGGTCGCACTGATTGCGTAGGCGCCGGCGCTGGAATCAAATGCCGCTTCTGCCGAGGCACCCACTGGGTTCTTGCTGACTTGGATTCTACCCACAAAGTCTGCGGGGCCAGTGATGATGTTGCTGTTGACCAGTGTGAATGGAGGTGTACCCACAGAGCCAATAGCCGTGGCGTAGAGAAGCCAGTTACTGTTGTCGTTAAGAACAATTTGATACTTGTGCGTGACTTGGTTGACCATTCCAGCATAGTCGAGGGAGCGGAAAAAGACAGTGCTTGTGATGACTGGCTTGGCCTTGTCGTAGAGAGCGGTGGTCATACCCATGCCTTGAACGACGGGGAAAGACACCAGGATACGGGTGTCAGCATTGCTATTTGGTCGAAGGTTCGCGTAGGTAGAGAAGCCTGTCAAGCGCTCAAGCGTAAGGGTTGTGTCTTGCTGAAGCTCCGCAGCGGAAAGCACAATGTGGTGAATACCAAGGGGCGAAATGAAGTATTTCGTGTTGGTTGCATCAGGCCAGTAAGAGAACTGGTTTCGCTCTGTGTGCGTAATTGCCATACCTGTGGGGCTGTTAACATCTGCATATTCTTTCATCACACATTCCTACGCACCATAAGAGCCACCAGTGCCCTTAGCCCAAGTCAATGAGTAAGGGTTTGTCCATACTGGGCATCCTTGTGTACCGAGGAACCAGTTAGCGTAAAACTTGTTCGTCTCAATTGGCACATTGCCGTCGGCGATGTGTTGTTTCTGGACGGGGTGGTCATTCCGGGAAGGAATGGATGGTGGAGGCGCGCCTGCGGCGATTGCCTGGAAGATGTTCGGCGAAGCCGCATCCACGAGTGGCGCTGTAGGGCCTGGGTCGAGAGGTGTCTCATTCGGGGCCAGTGGTACTGTGGCAGTTGTGGTACCTGGGCCACTGACTGGGTTTTTTGTGAAGCCACCCGAGGGAAGACCTGTCAAGAAGCTCTGCAAACGAAACCGTTAGTAAATCATTCATGTGCGTGACCATCTGAAGCAGTAACATACCCCAGTAACAGACGGTTCATCAGTAACAGTGGCGGTTTGCAGCGATTCAATCGCAGTGCTGTAGCTTGTGGTAACCGGGAGCGAAGACAAAGTTATCGCACGAGCCGCAACCGCATTCGCACCACCGGCAGGGAGACCACGAACGGAGACTAAGAGAGGGGCGGAAGCCAAGAGAAGTGTTGCCAGCTTCGCCATGTTGACTGAGGAGGGAAGTGAAGGAGAGACCAGCAGAAGAAGTAAAAACTATCCTGGACAATGAGAGTTGTAGAGGATCTTGCATAAACAGCGAGATTGTTGTTTATATAAAGGAATGCACCGAGGAATTCACAGTTGCCTGATGAACAATTGCTTTTCCGCGTTTCATTAGAGCATATATACTGTTGCAAAAGAAGCTACAAAAACCTGGCGCAAGCAGTGTATCACGCGCGCTCGGTACAGTGATCCCTTAGGAAGGTCGATCTCATGGCTAAGACCTGTGCCTAAAACATTTCTGTTCCGGTGTAAAGAGCAGAGGGACCAGAAATGGCCTAGCCTACCCCAGATGAATTCCCTAGAATGTAGAAGTCTTGGCAACATGTTACACAAGATTCTCGGGTACCTGGAACATGATTGTACCAAGGTGCCACCGCCAGATCCGTGGGTATCTGGGCGTACAATTGTACCATGATGCGCGTGTCGTTTCGGCTGTGCACCAGCCAGCAGACTTCCAGAGGTTTGACTGATTGATGTTCAGCATTCTCGCTGAGGCAACTACTCTGCTGGAAATTTGTGGGGTAAACAGAGTAGGAACGGGAGTTAAATTCGCGCCGAAGGAGGAACACCCAACGGGAGCTTGTGCCCAACCAAACGCCCTCGACCTGCACCGAGCTAGTCGAGGAAAACTCAGCAAAAGCCATGTTTGTCTGAATACCGTCTGTCTGAGGTTTACCGCCTCCTTCGCATGACCACATAACGTGCTCCTGCTGCACAAGGCTTACTGGCTGCCCGACTAGTCAAAGGGAGCGCAGCTGTCGCAACCTTGCTAGTGACCGTTTCCGGTGATTTGGAGGCATATGCAGGGCGCGTAAGCTGCCCTTGAAGAAGAAAACCTGTCTCCCACTCATGGGTAATGGGAGTGGGTCGCGGCAGTCTGGCAGATGACCGACATCCATGGCTTGGGCGCTGTTCCCTTGGTATTAGACTGTTCATTCTTGAGGCTCATGACCATTGGAGCATATGGGATCCTAGTCTACACCAAGTAATGTTAGTAATAGCTTGTTTCCAACAGTTAGCCTACCAAAATTATACCACATCGTTGCAGTGACGCGGAAGGTTGAAAACAGTTGCGACTCCAGTTACAGCTGTACCAGTGCGAAGCAACTGACGGCAAGCACAGCCAAACTGCACCTGAAGCAGATCATTTGCACGGCCAGAGCCACCTTGTGGCGCCGCTCTTGAGTTAGTCTCAAAGGCATCAAAGAAGCAATTCTGTTGATCGTGGAACCAGCGACTCTCAAGGCGCCATAAGCGGTGGGCACGAGATCTTACGCTACCATAAGAAGCGCCGGCTCTTGGATGTCGGTCCCGCGACCTCGATCAGACGTGCGCCTTCTGCCTCTGTGGGGAAATTTGCGGTGTGACAAGTCCACATGGTGGAGAGTCGCGGCTGTCATGCAGTCGGGCGAGATTTCTCCTGGCGTCTTCTTGTCGCCATTCGCCTTCGCGCATACCGTGAAGACTTGAGAAAATCAATACACGCCCCCAAATTGTTCTCGGAGCTGACACTCGTAAGAAAAATTGGCAACTTGGTGGTGTCACCTGTCGCATAGGGAGTGGCGATGATCATATGGGAGCATGCATCGGAGTTTGCCTCAGTCAGAGCCATAACTCCGACAGGGAGTTTTCAGCCACAGCCACAGTCGCAGCCACAGTCATAGCCACAGGTACGTACTTTGACGTCACTACAGTTTCCGCCACCTCTTTGTACAACACGCAATTACCTGCAGATAGGTAATTCACACTCCACCTACATACTCCTTCATCGTTTCACATTCAAGCCATACTTTCGATTCTCGGTACTATCTCAGTTCGTACCGAAAACACTCTACAACCACTCCCAAGAATCCACAAACTTACCATGACGACATCACATCCGCCAAATGATCCGCCGCCTAGTTACGAAGCCGCTATCTTTGATGCAGATCCTTCACCCGGGATACATCGTGTCTCTACAGATGGTCCTGCAGCCCGCACTGAGCGCAATGGCATTCCGCCTGACCGACGGCGTTCAATGGAGGATGAAATACGCGAGCTGCCCCCGGGCTGGGTGCGCTCATTCGATCCAGAGTCACAACATCAATTCTTCGTAGATACGAGAGCAAATCCTCCACGTAGTATCTGGACGCACCCATACGACGATGAAGACTTTCTCAAAACTCTCAGCCCGGAGGAGCGTGCTAGGCATACTCGCATGCATAGGACGATGACGATGGAGGATTTGGCAGCTGAAGACTCAGACGCCGAAGACCAACTTCCCCCTCGTCCTACGGCCCAGGACAAAGCGGCCTCAGCGCCTGGTGGGCCGACAGGCATTCACAAGTTCTCCCGCAAGCTCAAGGACAAGATCACCGGCCAAACACACGAGCAACGGGAACAAGCACGTACTCGTCGTGCAGAACAGGAGCGTCAAGTATACCTCCAACATCTTCGAACAAGGCAAGCAATCATTCGTGCCATGGAGACGGGTGAACCGCAGTTGTTGGGCAAAGATCGACAAGGCAGAGATGTATACATCGAGCCACCCCAGGGTCCCTTCGCACCCAGGGGCGCATATGGATACAATCCCTATGGTTCCCGACAATACCAGAACCCCAACATGCGGTATATGCGTCCAGCTGGACCGTATGGTAGACCTTACGGATATGGCTATGGAGGCGGAGCAGGTTTGCCAATTGCGGCTGGATTCCTCGGCGGCGCGATGCTTGGCAGTGCTATGTTCTAGGCAATTTGGAGCCAGGGTGAATTGGTAGTTGATGATGCTTGCTGATCACCTAGGCATTGCTGAAGAGTGCGGTCATGGTTGGGTGAGACCAGCAACAATGGCATATGTAATGGTCGGCAATCGGTTAAAGGTGGACTTCCCGATGGGTACTCTAGTGCAGATAATATCCTATGTAATGCATGATCAGAGCCCACACAATTCTGCCTGGCCTGTACTGCATAGCAGACAATGTCACAAGTATATGGCCATTGTATGTAGTTTCGAGATCAAAATTCCTCAGCAATTGCTCGTGTCATAGCTGACGACTGCCATGTTCCAAACCTAGCCTCGTAGAAGTGGGAGGCGGATTTCCCCGATGACATGATGCGCATGGCACTGGTGCTGAATGCAGTCACTTTCTATTTCGATAAAGCACTGAGAACGATGATTTTTGACTGATTTGAAGAACCGGGCAAGATCGAGGCCAACGTGAGATGATTTGTTGTCGACATGATGGGCCGCCTGCCGTCGTGTGGAGAGATTGGAAAACGGGTCTGGACCGCGTGCGAACAGCTGGACTGTTAACCGCCAAGCTTGTACCATTTCTGGTTGATCGAGCATTTAGTAATGTGCCAAGTTCTACAAATAGAGTTAGTCTTTGTATACAGCCTGTGCTTCAACTTTACGCCCTGAGACTAGTAATGGGTTCTAGACGTGGTAGAACAATCGTGTGGTTGCCATGTGCAAGTCTGTCTCACTCATTGTGCAACGCGTCGATCTTTTCTTGTGTTTGTATTTGCCGTCCTAGTGCCGTCCCACATCTAGAAGGCGCTTGTGCGGCTGTAAGCTGACATGCAGTACGAGCAGTTTGAGAGTGATGACTATGCGGAGGAATTGGTGATAGTCCATGACGCGTCGCTCAAAACTGAGACGCTCAAATGGCAGGTCCTACGAGTGAAGCAAGTAAGTGGTTACGACGCTAGGGGCCGACGGCGAGTAAGTCAGCTTATATTATTCAGTGGAAACCACGGCTTGATAGAAGGGCGTAAAGACGTCCAGGCTATCTGTAGAGGATTTGTACTCCGGAGATAGCAAAATCCTCCGCTGTGGTGTTGAATTGGTCGAAGAATTGATAGGGCACAATACACCAATGATGAGATTCAAGGTTACCTCAAGGCCGTAGTCAGGGCTCCGAAGCCGGACGTGTGGTCATTGGCCGGCGGATAGTTGTTTCGTTCGGGACGTGCTGGAATTGCACACATGCGAGATAGACAAGCACAATCCCACACGTCACAAATGTTGGCGGCCAAGGACTCGGGGCTTCCGGAAAGTGGACGGTCGCGTGCGACCCAACGAGAGCGCTGTACTCTTAATCGATTTCCCCACGCTGGAGGGGTGTAACACACTCTCCACGAGCCCACCACGGTGGGCGTGCCTCAGCCCCACTGCCGACAGGGCCTGCTTCTGGGGAGGCTCACATGCTTTCGCGACAGTTTGCTGCCCATGATCGCCGGGCGCGTCCGGAAATGCTGACACGCAGCTGTGCCCTGCATGCCACACCCACGGGTCGTCGTGCAAAAAAAAAAACACATACAACAGCTTCAGCTGCCAATGCTTTCTTTTGTGCTATTGGGCGTCAGCATGTAGACGGAGATGACAATCATGTTGCTCCTGAAGTGACGCTGAAGGCGCTTCATTGGAAGTTGGTCAGCATGGTCAGCCGCGAGATAGGACCGCGTACAAACAGGGTCCTGGAGAAAGTTACGTGCGTCGTCCCGCATTGTGGGAATGGTCCCAGAATTAGGTTCAACAGTCTCAAGTCAATGTCTAGCGGGCAGGAATAGGCTATAGTACTACTGTGGCCGCGGTCATAATCCAGGATGCCAGACACCAGACGCAGGTCGGACGGACGGCTGTTTCGACCGCTCATCAACGGGCGATTTTTCTGACGCCTCAGTTGCTTCACTGGACGTGCACGCAGTAGTGCAGGGCAAGCTGCAAGAACCCACAGGCTTGGGTATCTGGGGGTTGTTGGCGCCCGAGGCGGCGTGAGATGATGTTACGACGGCCGAATTGAGGTCGACTATCCATCACTATCCATAGGTTTGACCAACGAGACGGGTAAATGGCGACGATGGGGAAATGGGGGTCTTATCGCACGACGTAGGTGAATCGCATAAACAAACTGTTAGGGACGGGTGGCTTTCGCAGATGAGTGTGCGGAATGGCGTCGCAGAACGGCCGGGCCGAACACGGCGCCAGAACAGGCTAGCGGGCTGCCCTGCCGAGGTGACATCTGATAGGCCGGTGCTGTCTGCTTATCTCTGCTCAGAAATGCAATTGACACCACGCAACGCTGACCACCCACTCGCCAAGCGCTCTGCCCTGGATGAAACTGGCATGGCCTGTCCATATTATACGGATGTGTTGACATGATGCCGGCGAAGAAAGCGCCTCGCGAGGAACCCCCCCTCAGGACCGACGCCATCTGCCCATCAGCCAGTGTGGGCGTTGGTCCTTATCTAGTCTTCTACCGTCACGTCTTTGAAAGCGGCGAGATAAGGCACCAAGTGACCATGACGCAGCCAGCAGCTTCGATCGATTGTCGGCAAAAAAAGAACAAAGCTCTGCATCTGACGCGAACCCCACGGCGACATACCCTCGCGCTCGTCTATTTGGCCTCGAGTGGTGGCCCGTGGACCAGGGTAGATAAGAGTACTAGTAGTACACTCAAGTGCCACCCATAAAGCACCCGGCGCATCTACCGTAATCGACAGTAGGGCTTCCGGTTTCTCCCTGGTGCTGTCATATATTAGTGGCACTGCCATCCCTTTAAGTGCTTCTCTATTCTTTCCATAGGCTTTACCCTGGAACAGTCTCTCCTTTCCCCCGGTACCCAAGGTTCCGTATATCCTTAGTACTTCGACAACCTTCTGGGAATACGGCCACCATGTCGCACTCATGGATCGGCGCGCCCGCCCAATTCAACGGCACTGATAGCGTCACTGGTGGTGATTCTGGTGAGTGCGAACCTTTCTGCACAACTACGCACGTGCCGTGGCCAACACCCGTGGCTCGCGCGACATGTCGTGCACCATGAGGGTTGCGCACACCAAATCGAGAATCAAGTATACTAACATGGAAACCTACAGTCACCGAAAACCTCAACCAATGGTACCAATCGGGCGACCAGGCCTACATCCTCGTGGCTTCGGCCATGGTGCTGGTCATGGTACCGGGCCTAGCCTTTCTCTATTCAGGTCTTGCTCGCAGAAAGTCTGCCCTCTCCCTCATCTGGGCTTGCATGTTCTCTGCCTCCGTCATTACTTTCCAATGGTATTTCTGGGGATACTCCCTTGCTTTTGGTCCCTCTACAAATGGCTTCATCGGCAACCTCGACAAGTTTGGCCTCAAGGGTGTGTTGGCTATGCCCAGCCAAGGAAGTCCTCTGATTCCTGAGCTGCTATACTCCTTCTACCAGGTATGGCAAATATGTACATTTCAGCAAGTATGCCTGCTAATCGAACTCATAGCTACAATTCTGTTCCGTCACTGGAGCCATTGTCGTCGGTGCCGTAGCCGAGCGCGGTCGTTTAATTCCCATGATGATTTTCATCTGGCTCTGGGCCACAATTGTATACTGCCCTGTCGCATACTGGGCCTGGAACGCAAACGGATGGTTCTTCAAGTGGGGTGGAATGGACTACGCTGGTGGCGGTCCCGTCGAAATCGTCTCCGGTTGCTCAGCTTTGGCCTACTCCATGATTCTCGGACGTCGCCAGGAGAAGATGATGCTCAACTTCCGCCCACACAACGTATCTTTGATCACCTTGGGAACCGTCTTCCTGTGGTTCGGCTGGCTGGGCTTCAACGGTGGTTCCGCTTTCGGTGCCAACCTCCGTGCCGTCATGGCCTGCTGGAACAGCAACCTTACCGCCATGTTCGCCGGTATGACTTGGGTCATTCTTGATTGGCGTCTTGCTCGCAAGTGGTCAATGGTCGGTTGGTGCTCAGGTGTCATCTCCGGACTTGTCGCCGCTACTCCCGCTTCCGGTTTCATTCCACTTTGGGCCAGCGTTGTCCTCGGTATCACTACGGGTATCGTTTCTAACTTTGCCACTAAGAGTAAGTGTCGTTGCCGAGAAATATCATGCACCATTCGCTAACATGCCACTAGTCAAGTTCTGGATCAGGATCGACGATTCCCTCGATGTCTTCGCTGAGCACGGTATCGCCGGAATGGTCGGCCTCTTCTTCAATGGTCTCTTCGGTGCCGACTATATCATCGGTCTGGACGGTGTCAACAATGGACTTACAGCTGGTGCCATCACAGGCGAGGGAGCCGCAGTCTACAAGCAGATTGCTTACATCTGCGCCTGCACTGCCTACTCCTTCGTTGTCAGCGCCCTCCTCGCTTTCGTCATCGACAAGATCCCTGGTCTCCAGTTGCGCGCATCTGAGGAGGCTGAACTCCTCGGTATGGACGATGACCAGCTTGGCGAGTTCGCATACGATTACGTTGAGGTTCGTCGTGATTACCTTGCCTGGACACCCGCCAAGGGCGAGCCCATTGACGGAGAACACTCCGTACCCCAAGGCGACCGCCACGGCATCCCACAACACAGCCAAATGCTCGAGGGCAAGGCACCTTCAGAAAACTCCAGCAACGAGCACACTGGTATTGGAGGCGATAGGCACGCCATGGCCATGGGTGCTGAGCACCAAAACGAGAAGCAGGTGCATACCTAAGCTTTCGCTTGTTTGGATTTCTGCTTGAGGCTGCTTTGAGTAAATTGTTTCGAGATACCACTTGCGCTTCCGTCATTGAGCAGTGCCTTTTTTCTTATATATATATCTTTTAGACCCAGTGTACGATTATCACCTTGTTCACGCATGTGCATATAATTGAATGTATACATCACATCAAGCTTCATAAACTCATTGCTTGGCACTCTTACGTGAACTTAGTCAGTTCTCTCATCAATGTCTACACAGGCCAAGTACCACGCCATTGAAGCCCAGCTAAGCGCTTGTGCCCAGCCTTCCTTATCGGTCCAGACATGATCGACTTTCCCGTTGTCTAGTGGGGTTATACCATGCACCTGTGCCAAGTTCCTGCTCCGCATCTTCTTATCTTTTCCCGCTCCTCCACCACAACACCTCATCACAGTCTACAGCCACTCAACGCTTCTGCACCCCAGATTAGCCCGATACATGATATCGATCATGACGCCACTGTAGATGCTAATCTGACTAAATGCAAACCAGCCGTGTTTACTTTTAGCGATCAAGGTACCATACAATGCACATGTACATCATCACCTCTTCAATGTAGAACACCCTTATTGCGGGAATTCAGATCTGAGATTTCTCTGGATCACTTGTATCAAATTAAGACTACGCTTCATTTTGGACGAATGGTGCTTATCCGCTTGTGGTCACTTCTTCAAGGGTCCTCCTCCTAATTGACACACCCATGTCAAGCTTCATGGCGTTGCAGCTCTAATCTACTGGCATGTGATTTCTTCTGATTGGACCATTTCATTCAATATCCTCTAATCACCTTGCCGATCGGCCGTGGATTGTTTCACATGTTATCTGGTCGTGGGTGGTCTTGTGGGCGTCACCAAGGGATAGCGAGGGTTGTGCGGAAAGCTTGGCTGGCCGTCGAGCTACAGGGGGCACTCATGGAGGGGTAAACTGTAATATTGTATTTCCCACGCCAAGGTTGTGCTCGTCGGGGGAAGGAGCCTTGGTTGAGCCGAGGGATGCAGCAGTAGCTGTGTAAATGGACAGGGGAGTCACTCCCTCCTTTCTTAGAGTGTGGGGGTGAGAGACTCCCTAATTCAGGAGATGACGACAGCTACACTCGTCACTTCAGTTGTTCCAGATTGTACCTGCGTCTTTGATACGATTTGGGCACCGCTTCCATAGTGCTATCTCTTGTATGTAGTGGTCGGTTACGCATCTCTTCAACAAGCCATCAGTTCTGTTCACAAAAATCTACCGTCGTCTGCGGTTTCGTGGTACTATAAACACTGTTTAAACCTCCCAGGTCTATCCCCCCTAAAATCTTAGCGATATCACTGATGTCGTTCTTCGCTGTAGCTAGTAGACGCATGTTCGCCTGTCCATATTACCAGAAGGAGGGTCTCGCGAACCTTCCGCGAAGCTGACAACCGCTCTATCTTCTACTAGCCAATGTCCTACAACAATAAACAACCACAGTCTATCGTGACTTCCTTCGCCTCTAGCGCTCAGCACGCACCAAGATGCCGCCTATACAAACCATGCCATCTCACACCTCCTCCCCTTATCCACGAACAACATACTCAGAACAACCTTAGCTTCCAGTAGCATACCTTGACCCTCTGCAAATACCACCTTCTCTCACCTAACAAGCCCAAACCACGCGACACCTGCTCGCCACATTGTCAGTTCTAGCATGTTTACGGCTCTACACAGAACCTGCTCTCTCAAAATCATGCTTATCACCGGCATCATCCTCGCCCCGGCAGCCATGGCCACGCCAGCCGTACACGACCTCGCCGATCTGCAGAGCGTCATCGATGCGGCGGCGAGTTCGATCGGGGACCCGAACAATCCCAACCGTGGCTTTGGCTTCAATCTCTTGGGCGGCAGTGGCCAGATGGGCACTGCTGATCTCGTCAATAACATCACCAATTCTATCCTGAGGGGAAAGTTTCAATTCGATACAAACAAGGTATGGTCTCAAATCTGTCCCCCATCCTTCTATCTCTCTCAGTATTAAACTTTTTCAATATCCACACTAACATGAACGAACAACAGACCACATGGCTCGATCTCCCCTCCCCCTCCGTCAATAAGACCACAAACCCCATCCAACTCAACCCCACGCTCCCCATAACAGCCAGCCTAGCCCAACCCACAATCCTCCCCACCACGATCCCCACGCTCGAAAACCTCACCATAAACCTCACCGAGCCATACATGGCCTACGTGAAATCCATTCCCGACCTGAGCACCAGTCTCATAACCCTCGGCCGCAGCTTCCACCGCGAGATGAACGCACCCGTCAGCGACGCCATCGCCGGCCTAGAACAAAGTCTCACTACTTTCCAAACCACACTCCTCGAGGACAACCTCATCTCCGCTCAGGCCGTTATACGCACTATTAGGGCGAGTGGTAGCTTGGCGAATGCTCAGATCGCTTGGTCGCGTTTCCTCAATCTGCCTGGTGGCGGGAGCAGCGATGCAGATGCTGCGGAGCCAACGGCGCCCTTGGGTGCTGGGGGGTTGACAGGGAAACGGGCTGTTGGTTGGAGGAGGCCACCGCCGAAGGATGGTCAATTTTATACGCATCAGGAGCTTTGGAATAGATCGGTGGTGCAGACGGAGCAGTCAACTCAAGGTAGCACCGGGGTGAGTGGCGTTGTTGTGCAAGTGGAAGAGCAAGACACATATACGCAGCAGTCTGCTAAGAATGCTCGGGTTGGCAGACCGTTTGTCGTCTGAGCCTTACTTACTTTGCTCGTTTACCTTTTTCCCTTGCGTTATCGAACTATACCTTTTACTCTTGTACATAATTTACATAGATATGAAATCGCAATGCCCTGGAGGCTTTTCCACACCAAGACTTCACCCCATCCTGTTCAGATCGCGTATTAATGCGTAGCGGTTCGAGTCAAGATACATAATACATCACACATTCACTGGGCGAGTACTGTATTTTACTAAGTACAAGGTACAGGGATAGTGTTTTAACTGCTTACTTATATTGTTGTTACAGCAAAACTGCGTTATGAAAATCTGCTACTCAGCATCGACATCACTTACATATACCATCCTATAATACATCACACGCTCTTTGCTACCACACCAGCCCAATCTGTTGCAGACGAATAACGACGATGCTTTGATAAGAATAAACAGCTAAGCTAAGATGAATGTGGGGATATCTTCAAGACAAGAGAGTATATGCAACGCGATTGACAAAAACACCAGATCGATCTCCCCTCCTCCCCCCCCAAAATCCAACCAAACCCAGGGGGAAAAAGACGAGGGACATGCGCAAAGAGATAGAGAGAGAAAAAAACAACAAAACCCCCCATGCATGACCTCGTGACACAACCAACAACCAGCAACCAGCAACCAGCAACCGACAAACCAAAGCAAGATCGACCACCCCGACAACCCTTTGTCCCATTTTGCCTTGCCCTTGATTGCTCCTTTATCCCCTAACCCGTCCGTAGAACACACCCTCATCTCTTTCCTTCCTCGCTCGAAAATCCAAGCGACCAAAACCATGGCGATGCATGGATGAAATAGGTATAAAAAGAACCAGCAGGTACATTTGCTCGCTGCAAAGCCACAGAAGCGAAAAGAAGGATGAGAGAGTGCGAGGCAGAAGACTAAAGGGGGGTATATCCGCTCACCCTACTAAAAGAGGATAAAAAGAGGGCTTGGTAAACAACAGAATACAAAGAGAAACGCTCAAGCCTCTCATTACAACGTACATACGTACATTTACACACATACAATCCATCAACACTCAAGCCCTCTCTCTTTTCTTTCTTGCTTCTTCTTTCTTCTCGCTTCTTTTTTGTCTTGTCTTTCGCTCGCAACAGCAGCAAAAGTGTCTTCTGATTCAATCTTTTGGAGGATATAAAATGTGTTTTCTTTCCTTTCCGGTTTTAAACCAGAACCCACTCACTGCCCCTTTTGATAAATTTATCCAGCATGAGCATTACGTCGGTAAGGACGAAGCGACAGATGTAGAAGCCGAAGAATTCTGCGGCATGGCGGGCAGACAGTTCGAGACCGACGTGTGTGGGGGATGAGTGTTTGAGGCCTGGGTCTTCGACTTGGCGGGCGATTTGATCTGAAAAGCACGTGATATGTTAACATAAAATATCCTCACCTATCAAACGAAAGGGAAGAAGGAGAAAAACTTACCCAGTACTTGGACTGCATCAAACAAGCGCGCCAAGGAACCCATGTAGCCCGCATTCGGGCCCTCAAACACGACACCAGAAATGTCTCTCTTAGCGAAGCGGATCGTAGGTAGATTGGTCATAGGCAGCGTTGCCATGACGAGCGTATCTTTGGGCACCTCGGGATTTTTTGCACCGCCCGCCATACCCGCGAGATTGACGCCAGAGTTCTTGGAACGGAGTTTGCGCCAGGAAGCGAGATAAGACTTGCCCTGTGCCACGGCGCCCCTGGGTGCCTCCTGCGACCCATGCGAGCCCTTGCCGAAGCCGTCCGTAGATGCGGCCCCTTCGCCGACGGTAGTTGCGTCTTTGAAAAGGGCAGTGACTGATTGTAGGCCGACTTCGTTGCCGAGCTTCTTTGCGAGCACAGTCTGTATTTGGTCGAGTATCGTCTCCAGAGAGTTCATTTCGTCCAAGACGGCATCTGCGTCGTTCATGTCTACAGCAGCTAGCTTCTGCAGAGCAGCTGTCAGCATGTCGCAGTTGGCAATCTTGTCTTCGACGTTCTTTAACTTGACGCCCTTGACTCGCCAGACATCGCGGGGAATGAAGAGCTTGGTCGAAAGGTATCCACCACGGGGATGCGCAATCGTCTGGTAGAAGCACCGCATTAGCCAGAACGGTCGGAGGAGGTACGAATCTGGGCACGGCTCAAGAGGTATCGGTGCGTTTGTGATTGCTGGACTTGGCGACCCAGGTGAGAAAGGCGAGTGGATATCGCTCTCGAACAGGTGCATCCCTCCGCTCGGTAGTCCATCGACGTTGAATGTGGGGAGACTCGGGGTCGGCAGCGGTAGACCGGCATTGCTTGGTTTCCGTCCTGTAATGGAAAAGGTAGTGCTGAGCGGCGTACCGATGGACACATCGAGCCATCGGGACTGGATATGACAGATTACGCTGCTTTAGACTAAGAAGAAAGACTTGTTCTTCCTGATTCCTAGCGCTGACGTCTTTCCGGTCTTGGGCGAACCTGGCACAAGGCCGGGGTCGTTGGAAGCGGCGTAGCTGAGCGCTGGCGTAGCTGGTGACACAGTGGCAATAGTCTCTGCGGGACTATAGAGGGTAGGTTGCGGTGATGGGGCCGAGAGACCGGCTTGCTGGGAGACTTGCGATAGCGCAGGCAGTATTGGCTTGGTAGTGTTGAAAGATGCGGCAGCAGACTTGGGTTGGGGCGGAAGGTCTGTTGGGACCTCCTTGGGTGGTACCGGGGGTTTCTCGGTATGCGGCGCGGGTGGGACTGGTTGTACAGATGTCTCGATCTTTAATTGTTTGGCGTTTTGTCCTGATAGTCTGCGACTCCGTACCGAGGCACTGTCCTTGGTTGCGGTAGTGGGCCGTGGGGTAATTTCTGCAGTGTCTATCGTTTGCGCTGCTTGTGTCTCCGGGACCGGGGGCAAGGCAGGCAAGGCGCCTAATGGAGCAGGAATTGCGGGAGGGGAATGTACGGGAGGCTGCTTTGATGGCGGGTGTATCACTTCTGCAACCGTGGAGAGCGACGTTCCACCCGTCGTCCTGTGCGAGGACACTGAGCTGTTGTACGTGCTTCCAGAAAAGCCACTCGAGTCAGACTGGCGGGGTAATGATGACTTGGTCTGTAGGTCAAAGTCAAAGCCATCTAGCATGTACTCCCTAGTCATCTCATCTAGTAACCGCTCTTCCTCGTCCGCCTCGTCATTGAACCTCATCTCGGCACTTTCGCGTACGTGGGGTAACGCATCGTTCCGGAGCTGTGTCTCCTTGTAGCGATATCTGGCCGCCAAAATAGCCTCTTCTCGTTCTGCTTCACGTACGCGTTCCTTTGCTAGTTCGACATTTCGCAGTTTAGTCGCTATCAAATCGCCTGGCGTTGATAAATCGTCATCGTAAGGTTCGTAGCCATCATCATACGCAGCTTCGACGGCAGCATCGAGCGCGGCGTCAAATTCTGCTTCGGTCCCTCCGCTTGGGTTTCGTAGGTGTTTCCGGCGCACTCCTTCTGGTGACAATGAATGTACCGAGGACGAGCACGATGATCCCCCGGATTCGTCTATGGTGTCCAGCCATGATGTTGATTCGTTGCTCTGCACTCGTCGGTGGGTCCCCTGAGCCGCCTGCTCGGGTTGTAGTAACCGACTGGGCTCGTTTGATTCGTGATCCGATTTGGAAGTGAGGAGTGGTGATTTTGACCGGTTTGGCGACAGCGGCGGAGGCATGTACATGCGGTCCATTGCCGACTCTGCAGCGGAGGAGCGCGCAGAGGATGCGGAAGGGGCCAGTCGGCCAGGTGGAGGCTGTAAATTGAATTGTGGAGTTTGGAGGCCTCTCTGCACATCCCGAATGGCGGTCGATATGACTGACTCACGAGGACTTTCGAGGCCCTTGCGGAAGGGTAGTTGTTGTGATTGCAGTGATTGTTGTGAGGGGGCCCGCTTCTCGGGCTCGGGGTTGTCGTATACAGAGGGGTCGTTGACTATACGGGATACAGAAGCAGTGTGGATCACTGCGGGCTCGTCGTCGTCGAGCATAAGCATTGAGCGGTGTTCGTCCAGCGACTCCCCGCTCATGGGGCGAGCAGGTAATGACTTGCCGCTGGTTGTTGGTATAGATAGGGGCCTAGACGGCGGAACTCGTCTATCTGTTGGGGGTATGGAACTCGGTAATTTGTTGGATTAGTATAATGTCGGACCGATAGGGGGCTATGGGTTACGAGGATGACATTTACAAAATCAATCAGTTTCCTGTGGTCCTCCTCCGGTGATTGGTGAACATTACG